TTTGTCCTTCAGCTGGAGAAACTTATTATTATTATTATACTTAGATAAACCCCCCCCGTCCCCCCGCCGCCCCCCCAGGAGGAAGTTCTGACCTTGGTGCCGGCTTGGAAGACCGGCATGTTCCTGTTGGTCAGGTGCTCGGTGACCTTCACCCAGCTGTGACGGGATCAAACGCACGGGGTCAACAGGGGCGCGGAGCGAACACACCTGGAGGTGCCGTTGGGGGCGTGGCCTCACCTGTGCTGGTACGTCTGGATCTGCTGCTCGATCAGCTCCCGGTACGAGTTCTCCGCCTTCTTCTGGGTCACCGTCACCAGCTGGATGAGCTCGGACCTGAGCAGCGTGACGGGTTAGTGCGCCGTGTTCTTATGACCACACAGAACGTGTAAAGGAGAAGAAGCGCGTACTTCTCCAGCGACTTCAGGATGTAGTTGTAGTTGTTGTGGAGGAAGATGGCGCTGAGGGCCGAGTCCTCGTACACCTTGGACTTGCTGAGCAGGTTCAGCTGCAGGTTCCCCAGCACTTTGCCTGAGAGGAGCAAACGAGCGTTACAGAAAGCAGAGCGCGGCGCTTCGGCTGCAAAGGGGCGGAGCCTCTTCTCCACTCACAGATGTAGCTGCTGAGGAGGCGCTTGTTGAACTCGGAGGTGTAGCTGCTGGCCGATGAGCTGGTCTCTGCGGGGGAAACGCAGCGCGTCAAAGACAAAGCGCTTCCTCTCCAGATCAACGTGCTCATCACAGGAAGCGCTCAGCACATGCAGCGCGAATTGGACCCCCGGCGGGGGGCCTGGAGCTTACCTCGGGGGTCTAAAGGGATATTGTAAGTGTCCCCCAGTACTAAAAGGGCCCCGGCGAGGCACAAGAGAAAGAGAAAGAGGCACAAGTGCAAAACAAAAATGAAAAGGTTAGAAGAGATTTTGTTAGTGCAGAGGAAGCAACGAGTCCTCGGCGAGGAGACGGAAGGAAAGGAAACAAGGACAGGAGGGAGGAGACATTTCCAAACATCTCAGAGCTGAATGTGAGGAGAGAGGAGAAAGGGGGGGGGGTATAACATATATAGTGTATAATATCTGCAGTCATGATGTCATCAAGTATTCAGACAAGAACCTTTTTATCATCTCTGAGCTTTAGAGCTTTGATCTGAAATGAAAACGAGGTTTAAGGTGAATCAAGTGATTTGTTGTTGTTTTGGTTTATTTTACACATTATAGATATCAAAATATATTTTTGGGGGAATTTATTTACAGCTTACAGGTCTTTGTACGCCGCACAGCAGAACCAGATGTTAATCGAAGCCCTGATCGCGATCAATACGATGCGAGCAACCAGCAAGCAAAGGTCAGAGGTCACAAGGACGTACCCTTGAGAGGCCAGCATGGCTCCGGCCGTCTCGTGGAAGTCCAGCAGCTGCTGCAGGAACAGGATGGCCTGGAGGGGGGACATGGGGGGGAGAGGGGGAGGGGGGGATGAGCGCCGCTGTAGCTCATTCATCACACAGAGCGCCGTTAGCCGTTTCCATGGAGACAGCGGTTGACTCACGTTGCTGGTCAGCTCGTGGACCGTTCCGTCCTTGGGCATGTTGTACTCTTTGTCCGGATCGTTCTGTGGGAGAGAAAGAGACGTCAGCACCGGCCTGCTAGGGACAATAATCGGGGGAGGAGGGGGGGGGGGGGGGGGGGGCGTCTCCACCTTGATGCTGTCTGCAAACTCCTCCAGAGCTTTGGCTCCAATGGTTTCCATCGAGGTGATGAGGGTCGGCAGCTTGTTCTTGGTGCTCGCCGCCGTGCCCTGAAATCAGACAGAGTTGATTCGTGTGAATGGAGACGCTTGCTGGACGCTGCGTGTCCTCCTGAGGACGGTCAGACCTGCAGCGTGGAGTCGAACTCGGCCTTGTTCATCTTCAGGTGCCGGAGGATGGGGAAGATGGTGAGCACGGCCGAGTAGTCGTGGCGCATTATGGCTCTACGAGCTGCAGACACGATGTTGTCTCCCTCCAGCATCAGGTTGTCCAGCGCCTCCTGTGGACAGACGGAGGGGGGGGGGGGCACGCGGTGAGATCAGACCAGCAGGGGGCAACTCCTCTGGTCCCATAGAAGTCTGTGAGAACATGACTCCTCCTCAGTAAACATTGTAAACGACTTTATGATGAGGAAGACGATTGATGAGCGAGCCCAAAGCCTCGACCTTTGACCTTCAACGGGCCGGACCTGAATGAGCGAGTCGAAGGTCTTCTTCTGGTGGTGCTCAGGGATGATCTCGGCCAGCAGGGCGTACTCGCTCTGGGCCAGCTTCACGAAGGCGCTGATGGAGTGGATGTAGGAGTCGATCTCCACGTCCAGCACGTCGTCTTTCCCTGAGGGGGGCGCAGGGGGGTCAGACGACTTACTCAGTATTCAGAGATGGGGGGGGGGGGGGGGGGGGGGGGGGACATCATAATATTCACGTGCTAAAGGTCTGATGGGAATGTTCCTGGTCTTTGCCCTCGTGGCCCCGTCACTCACCTGAGGCGGCCCCGTGCTTCTCGCTCAGAACGTCAGAGGGATGTTTGACCCGCGGGTCGTGATCGTGACCTGGGATGGTGGGAGGGAGGGGAGGGGGGGGGGGGCGTAGACCGAGTCAGACCACCAGGGGTCATGACTAGGTCATCAGGAGGATGAGGAGGAAGGGGAGGGGGAGGGGCCACCTAAACCAGAAACATCTGCACTGACCACCACCAAGCACCCAGCAGGGGACACCCACTGCAGAGAGAGAGTGTGTGTGTGTGTGTGTGTGTGTGTGTGTGTGTGTGTGTGTCTCATGAGGAAAAACCGAGGAAAATCACTGAGGAAAAACGTCGCAGCAGCTTTGGATTCCGCTCTGAAGCTTCTTCTCTCGTTGAGGTTTAGTCGGGTTCTACTGCAGCGGTTTAGACAAAGCGATGTTCTGAGACACGTGATGATCTTCATCGGGTCAGGAGAATATTCTATGACGGGTAAAGTGAGCGGAGTCCACCAGACTGTGTGAATAAAAAGGGTTATTTTAGACCCCCGCCTCCAGCGGCCACTTTGTTTGTGTTATTGAGCGACTGAGAATCAGAAGCATCAGTCACATTAACACCGGGGGGGGGGCGGGGGGACGCACGAGCCCCTCCGGAGGTCCGGGTGGTGGAATGAACGGTTTTATCGAAAGATAAAGAGTCTGGTGGATACGCAGGACACTGAACTGACCCTTTAAATAATCACAAAACAAAACGAGACGTTCTTCATCGTCTCCAACGGGGTCACCAACGCCAATTGGTCGATCACATCGTAGTCAAATCAATACTCCATTTAGCAATAAAACGCTAGACTGTATTAAAGGTCTTAAGAAATTCTGTACTTTCCTGAAGGCGACAATAAATTGAAGGAATCCTTTTTTTGTCTAAAGCAAAAGGAGCAACATGGAGGTTCTGGGGAGTCGGTGCAGAAAAAGTCACATAAACTTTCTGCTGTGACGACGTCTCTTACAGGTGAAACCGCACGACTGCCAATGTTCGCTTTTATCGTTTATGGGATACGATGAGCTGCTGTGAGGTGGTGAGAGGAGAGGAGGAGGAGGAGCGTTACCTTTCAAAGGAGTGAGGTAGAGCCCCCCTTTTCCCATCCAGCCCATGCTGTGAGTACTGTTTCAGAGGGTTCTGAGCCTTGCGAATGGTCCCTGGTCCCAGAAACACAGAGACAGGAGGAGCAGGTCCAGACAGCCAAGAGGAAGAGTGCAGAAGAAGAAAGGGAGAGCTAGGAAGTGAGAAAACATGAAACCGACACCACCGCCACCAGCAGGGGTTTGTATGGGGGGGGGGGGAGAAGCTACTAGAACGGAACACTCGGGTCACGTAGGAGCAGAGCACACAGGTTAGATCAGAAGACTTCACACAGGTTAAACAATCGACATTCACGTTGACCCCCCGCCCCCCCCTGATGACATCATCACAGTACAAGAGCCCCGGGATCAGGATGGAACAGGTAGTGAACGACTCGCCCAGTTAATCAAATAAAAGTAGCGTCTTTTCAGAGAATGTTGAAGTATTTACACTATTTCTGAGTAGCGTAAAATACCACATTTTATTTAGTATTATCTTTATTTGTTTGTGTCATGGGGACAGGTGGCCCCTGACTCTCTGTTTCAACCCGCAGTTTGTTGGGTAGAGAGTTCGTAGCACTTAAAGCTGCACTCAGTGACTTTTAACTGGGAGCTCTGGTTCTGAACACATGCAGACACACTTCTTAGTGGAGCTCTTCTAAGAACTGTAATAAAATCAAATAAAATCAGCTCTTCAAACACACACACACACACACACACACACACACACACACACACACACACACACACTCACACACACACACACACACACACACACACACACACACACATTTCACACCAATGCTTTATAACAGCTTATTCAAAGTCACCCTCTTTGGTCTCCACGCGTGTGGACAGAACCCACAGTGAGACTCTGGTACAGAATCACCTCATCCGGAGACCCTCGCGCACCCAACACGTCACATTTGTGACTATGGACCCGACGTGTAGCGTATACGTATGCGACTACCCATAAACCACAGGGGGCCTAACGACGGAGCCCGGCGTGGAATCGGGAGCGTTTACCTGCGATGTAGACTGGCATCACAACATGGGGATTACCAGAGGGGAAAGGAGGAAGGTTAGTGCAGGTCACAGGGGTCGCTACAGTCCGGGGGGGGGGGGGGGGAGAGGGGGGGTCCCGCCCTGGAGAGTAAAGGTGACTCCCACGGTGTCTTGGGGGGCCTCTCTGGTCGCGGAGCCATCTCACTGGTAACGACCGTGTGTCAGTTAGAAACGACAAAAGATTTGCTGTTTTTTTGAGAAAGAATCTTTGTGTGTTTTATAGAAGAGTCCGTACTTGTGTGTGGAGTGTTCGAGGAGCTTGTTCATATAAACTTCAGGGAAGAGAAGAGAGCAGCGATCGACACAGGAAGTCTCATCTTATTACTGCAGGACATTATTCATTCATTATTAAAGGAACAGCAAAAGAACAAATAAGTTTTCATTTGAAATATGGACTCCTATGTAAATTTTTTAAACTCAATTCTAATCACAGATGATTTATTATTACAACATCCTCTGTATCCGGACCCTCGCATCGGAGAGGGGGACGAAGGAAGCGAAGGAAAGGAGTTAGGCCTCACCCTGGTTGCGTCCGTACTCCACCAGCCAGCCGGCGATGCAGATGATGTCCTGCAGCACGGCCTCGGGGAGGTGCTCCAGCACCACGTCCTCCTGGACCTCCAGCTCCTCGTCCACGCTGATGGCGTCCAGGATGAGAATCGGGGGGACGGGTTTACTGTAGCGGGTCAGCAGGCTGCGGAACTCGGCCTCCAGCAGCTCTTTGCCTTTCTCAAAGCGCGCTTTCTGCAGGGAAGAGACGACATTTCTTAATTTGCAGTGTTAAGAATAAATGAGGTTGTAGCAGATCTTCATAGTTACAGCCACCTACATTTAGAGAATTATGGTTATAATCTTTTCTTGACATCTAGTCTGTCTGCTGAGGATGGAGCTAGCAGCTTGTTAGCTTAGCTTAAACACTGAAAGCCAATGGAAACGGTTAGCCTAGCTACACGTAGCAGCACCTTTACCCTCAGTGATGAGGGTAAATGAGGTTTGTGTAAAACACATCATCCATCACGTGACTCCCAGCAATAAGACAAGAGAGTGCATTCGCTGTGTGTGTGAGACACAGACGAATACTGTACCACGGTGTTGAGCTCGGGGCTGTCGGGGTTGTTGTCTTGGAAGTATTCCACCGCTTTCTGAATCTTTGCAATGCAAGCGAGATACTCGTCCAGCCTGCCGGTCGGCCTGAGACGGAAACAAACGTTAAACCACGTTTCATGTGTTGAAAGTCCTTCGACCCGACGAGGTCTCACCCCTCCCGGATGATCCGGTCGGTGTCCTTGGCCACGTGGTAGTAGCTGATGACGTGGTCCATGCACGACAGGGTCTTGTCCACGTTCTCCTGCAGACACTGCAGATTCTCCGTCTGCTTGTGGACGGGGATGATGGAGTTCTCCAGCTGCATCAGGCGGCTCTCGAAGGACGACAGGATGGAGACCTGCGGGGGTCAAACAACAAGCCCCCCCAAGGGCGCTCAGAAGAACGTCTCATCCCAAAGCATCGTAGGATGCCGTTACTTTGGGATGAGATTGGTCAAGAAAACTGTTTTGAATTGCAAATCATGTACTTTAAGATACTTTTTGACAACTGGAAGGTGTAACCAGACCACATCTCACCAGGCCTAGACCTGCTTTGATACGATCACCATCATATATACTGTATATACACATATTTATACGTATGTCGAACCTTTGGTTTAGAAAACATCTCTGCCGAAACCACACACACACACACACACACACACACATATACACATACACACCCCACACACACACAACACACTTATACGTGTATATCAAATGTACAGATATATATTTGCACTAGATCAGAGACTAAGGAATATTTCAAGGTGTGTGTGTGACGTCATCCCACCATGCCCTTTGTCTGCTGATCACTCTTCTCCAGGTTTTCCCGGATGAACGACAGCGTCTCTTGTTCCTGTAAAGTGGAAAGAGACATTTCGATCAGTCGGAGCAACACAGTGAATCCAGGGCGAAGCCCTGAAGCCCGACGGCTCGTTGGTGAAGCTTCCTTCCCGTCCAGCGATGACCGACCGACCGACCTGCTTCAGCTTCTCCTCGATCTCCCGCTTCCTGGCGGACGCGTCCTCGGTAGGAATCATCCCGTCGGCCACCGGGAAACAGCACCGGCGGTTTATGGCGTCAAGTGTCAGCGACGAAGACCCCCGCTGCTGTTGTGGGGAGTTAGCTTAAGCGCAACAAAGCAAAGCGTCGTGGTAAGACGAATGGTTTCCGGTTAGGATTTCAAAGTAAAGTACTGCTGGCGAGTTTTGTCTTCCGCAGTTTTAACTGAATGGATGTCAGGACGACGGAGTTGATAGTTCCTTCCTACAGTGGTTATTGTTAATCATTGCAAACACGTTACCTTTGACATAATTTAGCAACTGAATCGAATTTTTTTGTATGCAAATTTAGTTGGGTATTTAATTTGAAATGTAAAACGTTACTTGTTCCGGTGTGTTTGTGGCGTCTCTTCCGGTCTGCTGATATTGGGACTGTTTTGGAACAAAACTGACGCCATGTTTATTGTGGCAAGTAAACGTTTTTAAAACCAGTGATTCATAAACTAATCCTCAAAATTCCTTTTAAATTGCGTGTTTTTATAAAAATAAAAACTTTTGCGAGGATGACCGCACGCTACTTGCAATGGCACAAAGGGGCCGCTAGATGGCGCTGCAGTCATTAACTAAGCAAATACTGTTGATATAAACTGAATAATACGGCTCTATGTTGACATTTGTAATCATCCAGTTTATTTTCACATTAAAAGGGTTCATGTCCATCCAGCAGGTTTGTTAAGTTATTTTTGTTAAAATGTTCCTTTGTTGGTAGCACACATAATTGTCACTTATTGAATTAATTGGGTAGGTTTTGTAAATGATGTTCTACTGTTTTAGAGAAGAAGTAAGGACATTAAAAGCAATTCTCCAACGTGAGCAGCTTTAACTCGCACTTCTCAAATTGTGCAGAGAATAACTAACATAAAAACAATAAGAACTATTTAAATAAAAACTACCACACAGTTCAGCAAAAATGTTACAAATGTATTTGCACAAAGTTGTGCCACAGATTCTTTTACGTACATATTTACAAGCTCCTGGAACATTCTACACAAACTACAACCTCTTCTTTAATACAAACAAAAATGTTTGCTCAAACATTCAACAAAACTTTAATCATTACTAAAGGAAAAAAGCATGTTATGAGTGAGATACCTCAGGGAGCAGTGGGGCTACACAACACATCGTAGTAGTCAGCTTAACTTTTTAAGCCATCACACTCTTTTTTTCACTCGTGCATTTAAAGTATCAGTTCACGTCTGAGGGTTTTATTGCTGCGCTGCAGTTATTTGAAACAGCTCCTGGACGTCTCTCTGGAAAAAAAAGCTCTCCACTGAGTCACACGTTACAGGAAAAACAACCCTGAAAACAACAACAGATTATGTTCTCTCTATATATATTAACTCACTAAAATATATAACAGCATTAAGAATAATGCAAAACATGTTAAGATCGCCGAGTTGCCCTCTACGATTCCTCTCCTTTAGACATCGCCTGTGGACGAAGAACACAACACGCGTTGAGATCCGTGGAACAACAAATTACAAGACCACTGGCCGCGTTTCACTCGGAATGAGAGTCACCTGCTTCAGGAACTGTCGTCCAAAATAATTGGTGGCCATGTTCTTCAAGCTGGTCTTGCCTCCCACTTTGCAGCGCACGTAGCCGTAGAGGTTGGCTCCTTGCAGCACGACGCCCATGATCACCACCGGCTGAGCAGAACACCGCAGTCAGTCACTTCTACTACAATCAATGTCATGAAAAAGACCAAAACCGGAAATAACCACATGCAGGGTTCTTTTCTGCACACGTATCAGTAGGTTTTTATAAGCCCACAGCGACAGAACAGTTTTTCCAGATGTTCTACATAAAAAACACAGGAAAAGGGAACTTAAGTTCAGAGCCCACTTGTTTCTGCCCTCAGACGAGGGAGGTTTTTAAGTTGTGAGAAACTGACCAACGTATTTAGGTTTCTGGTCGACAAACTGGTATATTAACCCGTGTTTTATTCTTCAATTTTGAGGACTTACCACCCACTTGATCTTGAGGGAAAAGAGAGTGCTGAAGGCAAAGACGACCCAGAGGACCGGACAAACAATCAGTCCGATCCAGAAGATCCGGGACTCAGAATCTGATGCTTGTTGCTTCCCAGCACTCTGAAACCACCCCCGGATATTCAGACAGTTAGGACATCTGCAAATACTATAAAGCCTGTTGACAGCGAGCAACTACTTTTAGGAACTCCACACAGTACAAGAGGTCAGAGTCATGGGAGGTCAAAGACCCACGCGTGGGACAGAAAAACACGCATTTCACCTTCCTGGCCTCAAACACCCAGTGGCTGCGTCCATCGTCGTCCACCTGGTTCCACCACCTCAGACCCACCATCAGCCGGCCCGTGATGTTCTGGAAGCACACAGATTCCACGTTAGCGTCGCAAAAAACAAATTCCTGTCATCTAACAGAGAAAAGAGACGCACTTTTACTGTCCAGAAGTCACAGGAGAGCAGGAGGATGATTGTGACCATGCAGGCGATGAAACTGCTGCTGAAAACCCCACAGAGCAGGTACACAATGACAGCACTGACTCTGAAGAAGAGGTGGAAGAAGGAGGCCAGCGGATGCCTGCAAACACAATTCAAATATGTTTAACGAGGAGTGGACAAGTGTGTATCATGTGATCATAATAACGATGGGCTGCCAGTCATTATCTGCTGATGAAAGCAGGACCGCGAAGTACTTTTACTGGAGTGAATAATCTAAATGAGCTTATATAGGACTCAGAAAGGATGCAGATGATCACATTTGAAAAACAAATTGTCCACTCACTTGATGCTCTTCTTCTTCTGCGTTTTCCCAGCATCCTCCTCCGCGTCGAACAGAGACACGTCTTCATCGTTGGTATCCTGAGGGATCAATAAGGAAGCAGCGCGGCCCTCAGAGACCACATCCTCCAAATGAAGGTTCATCGCGATCTACGGACTTCAGTTACAGACTTTGTCGTCAGTAAAATAAAAGCCTAGCCCAGAATTTGATGAGTTCACGAGCGTCATCTTAACTTCAGTCACAGCTTGCAACTGCTAAATGCTAACGTTAACTTACTCATTTGCTTGCTTAAATACACCGTTAACATTATAAACGACGTTGAGGTTGTGTTGTCACTCGCTGCTACAGACGTGTCATATGCCTTTTACTGATATAATAATTAAACAATGAGCTAACTTAGCCTAGCATTGGCTGACAGTGAAAGCTACATGCTAACGTTAGCTGGCTGTAAGCGACGCGGTTTGAATAAAAGCAGAGAACAAACACGCCGATGTCCATCAGAAGACAGCTTCACCGCTGTGTTGTATTGGAAATGTGAAGCTACGCTAACGTTAGCTTTGTAGAGCTTTGTAGACAAATAGCTACTAATGCTAGCGTGCTAGCTAACGCCTAAGCAGCATTAACGTTAGCTGGCGAAAGAGATGTTCACCTCAGGCGTGTTTATTGTCTTCTGCCTTTTTAGAGGAAGCTGCTTCGCTGTTTGACATATTTACTTGGCAGATAAAAGATAGTCCTTTAAAATGTGTCACTTACTTCCGTTAGCATGTTGAGACGTCAGCGGGCTCTTCGCTGGGTTACATGCTCAGCTGGAGCCGCGTCATCGACCGCGGGGGTCACGTGACCACCGCGTGCCACGTCTATTGTTACGTCATGGCAGACGTTTGGAGTTTGATTTGGAGTGTTTGCGTTGATAACTGTCTATCTATCTGTTTTTAGTTTTTCTTCAGGAGATGAAGAAACTTAAATACACCACATGAATTTGTTCACATGTCACTGGGAGATTCCTCATGAACAGTTAAAAATCTTTAGTTTGCAGTTACTAAATTTACGGGGTTTTACCGTCATTGCAACTTTCGGATTTATTTCATAGCCAAATTTTGCCCTGCACCCAATGCTTGGTAGATTTGTCGTTTATCCACACGAAGATTTCCAACAAAATCCATCCATGTAAACAGCCTCTTGATTTGATGCTGTGGTGAAGCTTTGAACTAAAACCAAAACAGACACTTTTTATGCAAATGAAAATACATTTTTTTATTTGCATTCAGAAAATACACCTCGGAATTCACAGTGGGATGAAAAGTAACAAGCCCCAAAACTACGCTAGTTTATAAATATGGCTTGAGCTCAAATATACACGCCGTAAACACTCAATTCATCACATTCTTTACATTAGATTTACAGTAAACCTGCAGCTGAAAACCGGTTGAACATTGTGTCCACATCAGGGAGGGAAACCGGACTTTGAATCACTGCTCCGCTGCTGTTATGGGAGCGATCGCTCCGCTGGTGGGCGAGCTGGGAGGAGACGGGCTCTTGAGCCGCAGCGGCTCCCCGGGCGCCACCAAGGCCACCACGTTCTCCTTCTTGGACAACCAGAACGCCGGGTACAGCGGCTCCAGGAACTCCGCCCGGTACTCGTGGATGAGCGTCAGGGCGTCGTCCACGCCGTAGAAGGCCAGCAGGCCTCCGGCGTAGTCCACGTAGACCCCGATGCGCGTGAACTTCTCCACGGCGAGCGGGGTCTCCACGCCGCTGTGCCACGCGGAGAAGGCGCGGCCGTTCCACTGGACGCACCAGGAGAAGTTGTTCCCCGTGATGCAACTGTTGCTCTCGCCGCCCTTGCGGTCGATGCTCTTGTAGGCCACGCCGATGTGCGTGCCCTCGCCGCTGATGTCCACCTCGAAGTAGTGCCGCCCCAGGTAGAAGCTCTCGGTGGCCAGGACCTGGCGCCAGTTGTCGAAGCGCTCCGGTACGTCGGGGTAAGGGTGCTGCCACGGCGTGGTGTTGGTCACCTTCCGGTTTTCCTCCGTCAGCCTCAGGAACTTGTGAGCGCTGTCGGCGTCGAAGCTCACGTGGGCGACATCTGGGAGGAGGCCGTGCAACATGTGGGTTTAGTCGATGAGGTCACAGCGTCATTGTTCTACACATGAGTGCATGCGGGTACAACCGTGGCAAGTACATATTAAACTATTAAAAAGCATCACTCACACTTGAGGAAGTCTGCGTGTGTCACTGGATTTGGTAAAGACATGTGCTGCTTCCTTGCAACAATCTCATGAACGGTCGTCTTTATGCCCATCTTGTCTGCAACAGAAGAAAACAGGTCATTTAAGTCTCTCACACTCAAAGGAGGTGCGTCACAAAGGAGGTGCGTCACACCTGTAAGAGGCGTGACACACAGGTGAACAGGTTCAGAGCCGAGAGCCTGAATGCAGCCAGGTGCCATCAAGCACCTGGAGGACGCCCAGGACGGGCGTGCACGTGTCCTCACACACACCCTGTTGACCGTGCCATGAGATCCCCGCGTGTTTGTTCTCCGTCACGTCCAAGTATGTCCTACTCACACCCAGACGCTACGGAGGTCTTTCGCTCACCGTTCTTGCACGTGTCTTTGACCTTCTCTATGTAAGAAGACACCAGCATGGCGCACAGCTCCCGCGTGGAGTCCACGATCACGCGGCTGAAGGACTTCAGGCGGTCCGTCAGGCCGATGTAGACGCTCGGCAGGGAGATGTCAGTGGACTCCTTCTTCCACTGGGAGTACTCCTGTAGGACAAACACACGTATGCACAATGATACGCGAGTCATTCATGTTGTTAATCCTGGGATCTTCTACCACTTGGATTGTTCTTGTTCTTGTTATTTATTCCGATATGACTAAGATTATTTTTTTGTTCCTACACTTTTAGAGGAATTTCTATTTATATATTTATTATGTACATATATTTATAGGTACATTAACCTGGTCCTCGTCATACTCGTGGACGTCCATGGTCGTCCACGTTGTCCCCCTCAGTTTGGTCCCTGTCTTACTTTGTGTACTTTAGATGTTCTCCGTCCTGGTCCCGGACTCGGCCCCGGTGGTCTTACCTGTAGGAAGTCCACATCGTTCTTGTGCTTGGAGAGCTTCTCCATCTGCCCCTGTGTCTTCTTCAGCTCCGAGCACCTCTGCTCCAGGTGGACCCGGATGCCCTCGGCCTGCCTCAGCGCCTGCTTCTCCTCGCCCTCCAGGATCTCCGTCACCTCCCGCTTCGCCCGCTCCACCACCGCCTGCAGCTCCTCGAACTGGCTCTCGATCTCCGCCCGCACCTCCGTCACTGAAAGCTGTGGAACGGTTCCAGGTTGAGTGGAGCATTCTTTACATTCTTTACATTCTTCACATTCCAATGCGCATCCGTTATCGAATTAAAGAGCACACATGGTGAACATCTCCCCTGCTCGTGCACATACATCTGAGTTAACTAGTTAACTCCACCAGCTGATTATGATCATTGCTTATTCTAGAGTGAAATGACCGAAGAAGAGAGTTCCCCGCGTGTCCCACTTCCTCTTTATTTCTACAGCTCTGTCACCGGACAGGCGCGTCTCAGAGCCAAATGGGGGTTTTTAGGAGGGGAACTTAGAGAGAGAACAAAGCGTTTCAGACAAAGACTTAAAACAGGTATTTTCAGACGGAATGAGAAAATGTTCTTGTGAACAATCGAGTGTGTAAACAAGTTTAACTAGAAACACAAAGGATGACGTCGCGTCTCCTTCAGGTCACACGGCCCCGTTTACCTCAATGGAGACGGTGTTGAGTTGAAGTTTGTTGATGGCGTTCTCTCCTGCCGCCACCGTCCTCACCATCTCGCCCTGCTTCTCCCTCAGCTCCTTCTGGGGAGGCGCCGACAGAACAGAGCTCAAAGTTTGTCCGCTCACCACGTCGAGCATTTAGTGCTTGTGAACAGTTCAGGTTTTTCTTCCTAGTTTCTGCTCCTCGCTGTGTGTGTGCGTGTGTGTGTGTGCGTGCGTGTGCGTGGTCAACCATCTTATTGTACACTCTGACTTCTCTTGAATTCCTCGGCAGGTTCAGACGGCTCCTTGTACCTGTGTGTGAATTGTGTTCTGTAACTTCTGCACCCTGAAGGGAAGAATCCTTCAGCGTCTAATGAGCCTAAAATCTGTAAAAGTGTTCTAGAAACACGCTTCAGCTGAAGCCTGTGACGGGAGGAACGTCAGCTTGAGAAGAGGATTTCCGGCCTTACCCAAACTTCTGTTATTCATTCCTGCGTACAAATTGCAGTATTTAATACACAAAATTACCTCAACAAAATCTAAAACTGCTTTGCTAAATTTTCTCCAAGTAAAACATTTTCTAAGTTAACGTTAATGTTGAGCTTTCGCCCTCGACCTCATTCACGGCTACACACCAGTGTGTTTTCAAAGTAAACCGTATTCTTCCCACGCCGCGGTTTGTAATTTGATTTTAATAATCATCAGATGTGTATGTGCCCCGACAGGTTCTGTCCTGGTCCATCAGTTTCATGCTGCAGCGTGCTTCAGCCAACTTAGCTCAATGCTAAACCGGCATAGCATCGACTGGGTGGCCACGCTAACGTGTCCCATGACGGACCCTTCGGGCGTGTTTCGTGTTGTTTGGTGCGCGCAGCAGCCTGGTGTCAGTTCTCTCATAACGGTGCAACGAGCGAGCTAACGCCTGCTAGCGTCTCCAGAGCCGCTGCATTAATCATAACAGTTCTGGAACACATTATTTCACTGTCTTGTCTCCACGTTTTTGCGTCCGAATTCGTTTTCACGAATGAATCTCGTTCAAAGGGACTGAGTTGATCTCCACTTTGCAAGAATGTGCAGTAAATGCCAGCAGGAACAGTGGCCCCTCGCGCTGTGCAGCTCTGGTGGAGCACTTTGAGGTTTAGCAACGACACGCCGCAAACAACAGGCGGAGGCTAGAAGCTACACCCCTCTGCAGGAATCTGGAGCAGAGGAGTCGACCCCCAGGGAAACCAAATGATTGCGTTATCCCCCGCGGCCCCCACTGCGGCTGTTTGCTCAGGCGGGCTGAGCAGGTTTTAGTGGATCGGAGCCACTTAGTGAAGTGAGAACAACTGTGGTTCATTTGCAGCTCTGGTGCTGAAGGTCACATCTGCCAAAGCCTCTCGGCTACTTCTAGAGAAGCGTCGTGGGGAAGATTTAAGCAACGGGGCAAAATACTGGCTCTTGTTTTGTCCCATGGACGTAGAAAAAGCCTTTGAGTCCATGTGCCTCTAATGGACTTTACCTTTACCACGAATCAATAAGCAGCGAAAGATAACGTGGAGCGTAATACGAGAAGGTTGTTCAGATCCTGCTGCAACTAATGGTCCTAATAATCACTATACAGGATCATTAATCATTTAGAGGAAATGATTTAATTATAATGACCTACTCCCTCCAAGGTTTTTCATTATTGCGAGACGACAACTTGTTATTTTTAGCAGCTTATCATTAAAATGACTTACAGTATCTTTTTGTCAGTGGTAGAAAAAGACATTTTTCAGACTGCTTTGTTCTCGAGGAGGATGACGCTCAAAGTTCAGCTCCATCTTGTTATTGATAAATTAGTAGGAAGATGAAAAGTACACCAACTTTGAACAAGATACAATAAGAGGTGGTAAAGGGACGGATGCACTCGCCTCTATCCGGCTCCGGGCCTCCGTCACGGGGGCCGTGTTGTGGCCCCGGTGCTCCTCCGTCACACAGTCCTGACACACGCAGCACTCGTCGGCGCAGCAGAAGAGCTCCAGGGGCCACTTGTGGCTCTCGCAGGTCCGCCTCTCGATGTCCCTGAGCGGCTCCACCAGCCGGTGGTTCTGGAACTTTGGGTTCTCCAGGTGGGGCCGGAGGTGGGCCTCGCAGTAGGACACCAGGCAGGTGAGGCAGGACTTGAGGGCCTTGCGGGGGCTCTCAATGCACGAGTCGCACACCACGTCGTCGGGGCCCAGGGGCTCCGGAGGCTCCTCCTCGGGCTTCTCCGGGTCCTCACACTCCTTCAGGTCATCCTGGATTTTGGTCTCCTCGGCCCCCTTAGGGTCCTGCTCCTCTTTGCCCCCGATCACGGCCCCTGTCCCGTTCTGCTCGGGGGCCCCGGCTGGTTGGGTCTTGTTGGGGCTCTTCATGCTCTCGGGGCCTGAAGCAGGGTTGTCCTCGCTCTGCACACCTGAGCCGGGCTGCTGGTGCTGCTGCCGGGGGGGGGCGGGGGCTCCTCCTGTATCGGCCATGTCTCCTCTCTGTGAACAACAAGCGACTCGCTGCAGTTCCTGGATCAGTGGAGAAGCCGCGCAGCCACACCCGGCGAGGATGTGAGCGAGGGCCACAGCCAGCGAGAGCTCCGCCCCTCCCACACACACACACACACACACACGCACACACACGCCCAGTCACTCCCCCCTCCTCCCCCCTCCTCCCCCGGCCTTGTTGGAGAGAGAAGCCACAGGGTGGAACCGAGCAGCAGGGAGGTGTAGAGTTGCGTTGTGTTTAAACATGAGCTGCGACATTTGATCCTCTTAAAGTGCTGAAATGAGGAAAATGAGGAAATCAAGCCCCCCCCCCCCCTCCCCCCCCGCTTCCTCTCATGTGATCCCTTCTGAGGCGTTCAGGAGGGAAATCCAGTGAAAATGCAAATATTTAGTGAGTCATAAAGTTAAGAAAAGAAAACCTGCGGACGCCGATACTGAGTCACGCATGAGCTATTCACACAGTTTCTCATGTGGTCATGTGATTAATCACATGCGTGTTCCGTTGTCAGAGGCCGGCCTCCTCCCTCCTCTTTTCACTTTGTTCATTTAATCTTTTTTGAGTTAATTATATATTCATGGAATCTTAAATTAAATCACTTCACGTGTGAAACCAACAGCAACAAGCTGTAACTGTGATAAATGTTCAGGAAGAAGAGACACGAGGTGTAAACCGATCAGCTACAGCTGGTCACTGATCAATACTTCTACAGTATTAGTCACATGGTACAAAATGAATCAATAATGTAAACAGGTTAACGTGACTTGTTGTTGTGATCGGTTTGTTGTGCCGCCCCCTGCTGGCAAAGGAGGGTCTTTAAATACAATGTGACGATCAAGGCTGTAAAAAGCTCCTTAGTTTGTGTTAAAGTTCCTTCTCAGTGAAACACACAACGACAGACGTATTCTGTGTGTGTCTGTCTGCACAGAAACACGTCATCGAGGTCTCGTCTTAGATCAATAATAAATAGAAAATAAATCCGCCAACATATTTCTTCAGTAGACTATTTTATTTAAATGTTAAACATTGTACAAAAGCTTCATTAAACACAGCGGAGAGGAACACGTGCTGACAGCATGACATTTATATTTCTGTAACTTCTACATTGATTCACCGTTTCTTCTCTCCGTCTTTGTGAAAGCAGCTGAGGTGAAGCGGCGATCCGTCCCCGCCATCACTGCACCCCCACCAGCTCCGTGATGGGCGGAGCAAACACCATCAGCTCCTGGTACTTGTGGAAGAACATGGCGAGGCGGGAGAAGTAGCCGTCCTCCTGGTACGGAAGCTGCTTCTCCATCAGATATTTGGACACGAGGGGCTTCACCTGCAGAGCGGGGAACAGACTCCAGGTCACTTCAGGCGTGGAGACCTTTTCTAACGATCGTTGCTCTTTTGCTTTGATGGATGTTGTATCTCTCGCGCCTCTTCAGTAGTTGGTGTTCGGGACAATACTTTACTTGACTTTGTTTTCTCCGTTTTCAGCCACAAACCCGAAATCTCCCTCCGCAGCAGCACAAGAACGTGCAGAAACTGAACGATTTGGGTTTTAAGACGTACTTTTAGACACATGTTGTCCGACAGGAAGGGGAAGAGGTGGTGCTCCACGTGGCAGCTGATGAGCGAGTGACCACACATCCAGTCCAGCAGCGCGTTGCGGGGCAGGTTCAGGACGCCGTGCGTCATCTGGTAGATCCGCTTGGGCCGGCTGGTCGGGGCGAACATGTGGAGGCCGATGTGCTGCCGGTCACACGGGTCAGATCGGTTAACGGGGGGCAAATATATGAATATATATATATAGAGAGAGAGAGAGAGTACACAGGGGTTACACCAGGTCCCGGATAGAAGAACACGGAGGACGTTAAGTCATCATGTTTCCATTGTGACCCCCAGCGAGGACAAAACATTCCTCCCCCTGTTGGAACCCGCGCTCTCTAATCCACCTTCACACACTTTGATCAGAACAATGAACAACGACCTGCAGACTCCGCCTGGGAAACAGCGTGCAGGAATTGTTCCTTTTATGTCCCACAATTCACGTCTCTGAGGACACAATGCCGATGGACTTTGTGTCACAGAGACAATCGCTCACAGCTGAACTCGCCCCCCCCCCGACTACATGTGGAGGGAATTCAGTGTTTGCACGGTGGTGAAAACTCGTGGTTGTGTTCAGTCCCCCCAGCTAACCGGCCGATGTGATAAACTACAGCTGATTTCAGCTACATGCTAACTCAGAAACAAGGGAACCAACATCATGCTAACGTGCTAGATGAAGATGTTAACATGCACGTGAGCACTTGGCTCACAGCAGGTGTTCCTCACCTGGAAGATGTTGACGTGGATGTACGGCACGGAGAACATCGCCCTGCACGCCAGCATGCACAGCAGAACGCTGAGAGGCGACAGGAAGCCCGAGACGTGGATCAGCAGCCAGTACTGCGAGTACAGGCCCAGCGCCACCATGAGGACGGTCCGGACCACGTGGGCCACGGGGTGACCTCTGAGGTGAGCTGCAAAAAACACAAACCGCAGGACCCCCTGCGTGAGAACAAGGCCACGGCGAGGCAGCAGCCCGGGGCTCCGGGTGACCCGGTCCGCCCCTCTCCGGCGCCTCTTACCGAGTGCAACGAGCGGCGTGATGACGGGCACCGCCAGGGGGGCCACGAACAGGTAGATGGCGCGGGGCAGGCAGGGGACCTTCCACACGCTGGAGTCGCCCAGCCCGACCACGTTGGTGTGAGCGTGGTGCATCTTGATGTGACCTTGAACGCCGACGCGCGCCGAGAAGGAGCCGCAGACCTGAGACGGACGCAGGGACAGACGGGTCCGTGTTCACCAAACATGCACACGACCGAACACCGACGAAGCACACGGAACCATCGTGGCGACGGACAACATCCTGGTTTTATTGTGTGTGTGTGTGTTTTGTTTGTGTCGACAAGCAGCCGATAAGAGCGCGGGGGCAAAGGGCAGGATCTGGTGAAGATTTCCCCCGGTCCCACCGACGGGCTATTTTAGCCGTGGGGTTATTAAATGTCATAACACTGGTTAAACAGCCTGATCTACTGCGATAAAAACCTCATTCATCTCTTAAATGTCTGTTTCCATGCAGATCTGATCAGCTTCACCTCCGGACATGAACGTCTGTGTACAGCGGAGGCGCCGGTTGGATGCTGTAAACGGTCTTTTAGTTCATGTTGTGGATTAATAACAAAATGTGGATCTACAATCGTCTTCTATCAAGAAATGACGGTTGTTGAATGAAGACGTCGGCCGTTTTATCCGACCGGACAGATGTTTTTCTCGCCGTTCCAAATGAGGCAAATTAAACGACCACAGGAACGTACCTGTGTTTCGCTTTGCTTGTCATGTTTTTGTTGTGTTGCCAAGAAAATACGACGGAACCCTATAAAACAATAATTTGTTGACCCTTGACCCTCGGCTGTTAGGCTCACCTCGATGAAGAAGACGGCCCAGAAGTTCCCCCAGGCCTGCGACTCGCTCAGCGCCCCGTGGCTGGCCAGATGTGTCCCTTTGAAGGCGATGACGGCGTGGGCCGCGCCCATCAGCAGCATGCCCGCCGAAAACAGCAGAACCTGAGAGGAGCCCAGCAGCAGGAAGGCTGTGGACCAATCACAGGGCTCCCAGTTCACTACTGTGGTCCCATCGCGGGTTTACGGTACAGTGTTTGCTGCTGCGTTTTACTCGTTTTAAGTTCTGATAGAGATGAAAATGACCAATAGAGACATGTTGGTAAACGTGCGCTGTCCTTGGTGAGTAAATAAATAAGTGAAAGAATAAAGGGGATCCTTTTGGACCAGAATGCAGCCTGGAGGCTTCGGGGGACACGTGTCCTTATCTCAATAAAACATCCTCTGCATCTCCTGTTTCAAACCGGACTATTTCGAGGTGATAAGTCACGAGCTGCGATACCTGATGACAGACGCCTCCTCCGGCTGAACCAGCGTCACAATACTTACTGGTCCTGGTTCAGTGGCCCAGTGCCACAGGCAGATAAACTTAAACTGTCACGCTGTGCAGATTGTTATTCTCTATATTTGACTACACGATGAATTCTGCATCGTGGAAGCGATATGATACATTAAATATTATGCATATTTTGATTGTTTTGATCATTTGCAGACACATTCCTACATCCGAGATCTCGCACCGTGTTTTGTAGTGTATATTGTGTATAAGTCAGTGAAAGAACACAATAATGAAGATAAATATAGTGTAAATGGGTTTGCAGTCCTTGGGCCGGCTGATGTTTCTGTCTGAGGAACTCAGAAGCATCACCGCAACAACTTATTTTGTCTCACCAGGTGGCAAACAGAGGAAAGCTGCTGCCAGGATGCTGCAGTCGATGCCCCTCCTCTCCCACCAGCTGCTCCCCTCCACCGCCTCCTGCACCAGCCTCGTCAGCTCCATCATCAGCGACTCTTCGCCCTTCTTCTTCTTCTTCTTCCCCTCCGGGCCTCCCGTCCTCCCGTCTCCGCCTCTCTCTTCCCTCCACTCCTCCGGTACGTCCTGCATGCTGGCGGAGCGGCTCCAAACTGACAACGTCCCCGTGCGGATCCTCGGCGCTTCCTGCCGCCCGCTGCACCCTGAGCACAGAGTCCACAGGTCACAGTTTGCATTGCGAAAGCCCTTATTGGCCACACACAACAAAGCATTGTGGGACAGGGCCGGCCCCTCGCCGGCCTGGAGCGCCCTCCTCCTCCTCGCCCTCATCTCTCTTACTCTGGTTTCCTCGGTCAGCTGACCTCCGCTGCAGGATTCGTCGTCCTGAGACCCGCCGATGGAAAGCTCGCCCTGGAAATCCTCTGCTTCAGGCAGCTGCTGGGCTCCGGGTCCACTGGTCCCTCGTCTCTGATGTCTCATGCATTCTGCATGTCGCTAACCTTCTTGTGTTTCGTTGTGATAGCCTCCCCTCCCCTCCTTCCCCCGCCCCTCCCCGGCCCCGTAACCTTGGCAAGTGTCCTGGGAAATGAGGAGAAAATAAAGGAGGTGAATCAACAGCGGCGGATTCTTCACCAGGGCAGAGGTTCAGAGGAAGGAGGAGGAGGTTCAGAGGAAGGAGGAGGAGGTTCAGAAGGAGGAGGAATATATTTGTGTACTGTGTATATATATTTCTGTGTTAGTTGTCTTCTACAGAGAGGTCCGCTTTCTGGGCTTTTGGCCAAGCAGATTCCTGTGTGCTCTTTAACACATAAACAGCGTGTGTGTGTTTTCACCCTAAAGGACAGCGGACGCTGCAGAGAACATGAGAGCAACCAGGCCGTCCTGTGCCCCCCCCCCACAGCCTCGGTTGTTTTTTATATGGGTGGTCACCTTACTGGCCAGAGAAAGACACAATTGCTGGTAATGTGAACATACATTTCACTTTATTGTAACAAAAGGTACTGTTGTACCACGATCACAACGGTTGTTGTGGGTACATCTTCAAATACAAAAGCAGGTTGTTGTTCTCGACCAAAGTGAACATTCATGCTCGTCGTACTTTCAAGTGTGCAGACAGACGGACCTTCAGTGAAACCACAAGCGAGATAACGGCGTTATCTAGCTCATGTGTGCATGACGTCGCAGTAACAACACGTGGTTCTGTCTGTTGAAACAATCAGTCCTTGGCTGTTACATAAATATACAGTCCCTATTTTGTATACGCCGTGAAGTACAATACCAAAGTACCATGGGTACATAATAAACAGTGTTCAAAGAGTCAATACAGTAATAATTTACAGTACAGTTGCATACAGTATGCAACAATAACAATGAGTGAGGCTGAGATTCATTATGGCAAAAACCCTCCCATGAAATGTTCATTACGTATTTTCTACGTAGGTTCCGGTCGCTGACTAGTCTGTGGGTTGGTAACAGTACTTGGCGTCATGTCATCCTGTTAATAAATGAAGAAAACATACGTATGAGTTTGTTCTGTTAGATGTTGTGCAATGAAAGTGCAATGGCCTTCTGGCTGCTCGTTATATGTAAGGTTGCCACTAGATGGCGCGATGTAGCCGGTGAACCGAGGCCTGCTGAAGAACCTCACAGAGCGATCAAGTAACTACATACATTACAAATGCCCAAACTTATGACGGACAACAAAGGTCTATTGTAACAGATAGTGGTGCCTCCCATTCAAAACGCGGCTTTCTCCACACTGACCTTCAGAGCTCGGTGTCTTCAATCGCATCTGGATCGTCCATGGTGTCCAGACGTCTCTTGCAAGCCTCCAGAAGTTTCTTCCTGGGGCCCAAAGGGATGTGAATGCTGTCGAGGTCATGATCCGAACAAAGCAGCAGAGCCTCAAGGTCGATCTTCTCCCGCCTGAAGACGGTCAAGAACTCGCTGAGGCTTTGAGAGGCCAGGAAGCTCTCCAGAGGACTACTGTCTGGCTCAAAGTCCTCGTCCAAGCCAACATCTGTCTCCTCCCAGGGCAGCTCCTGAAGGTTCCTCTCCTGCAGGCTCAAGGCGCTGCCGATGCTGTCCTCGTCAAAGCTGGCCAAGCTCCGTGACGGATGTCCCCCGAGACGAACGTTAGGTGCCCGGCCCACAGGTTCGCTGCCCACTACGCTCCCTTCACCCGCTCCCCCGGCACCGAACACGCCTCCGCTCAAGTAGTTCCTCCTGAACACCATGGTGCCAAGCCCGGGTCGGGTGAACAGGGAATCGCGTCCAGAGTCGGCGCTGATCTCTGAGTACGCAGCCTCGTGGAGGCCCGGGTCGCTCATGGCACGGGAGATGGTGTCCTCGGCGTCGTCGTCTGCGTTGGCGTCGCGGTGGAACATGTCGCGGATGTCGAGGCGCGGTCGCTCCTTTGGGCTGGCGTACGTACCCCGTTTGAGGAATAGGACGTCGTTGCCGAGCTGCAGGCCGGACAGCGAGCGCACGCTTTTCCTCCCGTCCTCGTAGATCTTGAACGTTCCATCGACCTGCTTCTTCTTCTCCAGCTTCTTCTGTATCTTGGCCTTGCCCTTGGCTGTGGAGTGCAGGGTGGCCTGAGGGGAATAACCACACATGATGGGAAGAGAGAATGGGTGGACCCAGATTCATTTAAGCCATCACTGATGTTGCTGCTGAAGCATTAAGATGTTACATTTCATTACATTGAGCAACTGGCTGGTTAGCTGGCTACGTTGCTAGTTCCACCATGCCTTCAGGCTAACGTTACACGTGGCCATACAAAACAAACTCAACGGTAGGTTTCTGGTCCCTTTGGATGAGGAGAACAAGAACTCTGGAGACTAGTCGGCCAACTAGCTGCTCTGGACAAGCTAGCTAGCTAACTAGACAGCCATCCTCCAGTTTCCATTTGCTCTAAATATTGGGAGAATAATCATCATTTTCTTCAGCAATTATTCATATAAAAAGAAAAAACTAAATTCGCTGGTCAACTAACATCATGTTGCAAAAAGAAGGAGCAGCCACCTGCGAGTATGGCATGTTGGAGGTGACCGTGTTGAACTTGCGACTCAGCGTGCTGCCACTGGTGTAGCTGGAGAAGCTGATGGCGTCCAAGTTGTCCAACGCCGCCGACTCCTTCACGAACTTCCTCTCCATGTGTTCGCGGTGCTTCCTCTGCAGCTTTGCGCAGTCTTTGATCCGGCGCTCCGCGGCGCGGAAGGCTCGGTCCTTGAGCTTTCCAACTAGCTTTGGGTTGAGGGTATTCTGCTTGGCGGCGATGGAGTCCAGGTAGCGGACGCAGTCCATGTGTCCCTTGGTGGCGGACATGTCCAGCGGCGTGTGGTAGTCGTTGTCCAAACACCACACGTTGGCACCGAAAGCCACCAGGAAGGACAGGCAGTTGTGGTGGCCATTGGCAGCTGCCAGGTGAAGCGGCGTGTTTCCCCAGATGTCGCACCTGTCCGGGTCGCCCCTGGAAGACGGGGTGAGGAGACGAGACGCCACGTTGCATATTAACATAACCGGATTCACAGATTCATTGAGACTCCTGGTACTAACCTGAGAGGAGCAAACCGGCGTTCTGCAGGTTTAAATGCACCAATTGATTGAATGCTGACTTTATGGTCAGATGTGGTGATTTGTGGACAGTTGTTTTGAGTTTGGCCTTTTGGACGTTGTCATCTTTTTTCTCCTTATTTTTTGCAACCAGAAGGGACAAGAGAGGGTGGAGCCGAGTTCAACCAAGCCCCGCCCCAAAGCACCTCCTGCTTTAAGGTCTACCAGAGACAAGTAGTCAGTTTCTCAAGGACTTGTCCCCTGGTGGTCACTGACCATGGTCCCTTTCTTAACAGTATCTGTTCTCCCTCAGAGATCCGCAACCCTGGAGACTTAAACTTCACTGAGAAACTCAACCTCACTTCTCTGATCCTCTTACACTCCGACTGGAGGTTACTCACATAACCTCACATAATAAAATGATGATACTGTATATAACTCAAGTTAATTTCTTATTCACAGGATGGTAAACTTACAGTGCAGCATGTGTAAAATTGCAGTCTTTTATCAGTAATATTTGCTGAGAAAGCTTTTTCTGTTTGTCAGTGACCTTACTGAAATAATATCTTTGGAATATTAACATGATATCATAAAAGCACTACCCACAATGCCGTGCAAGCAATAACAGGACCAACCGCACACACCAGACTTTGGCTTTATGTGACTAGTGTTGCGTCCCTCGTCTTCCTGTTCGGCCTCCGCCCACTAGGCCCTGAGGCGCCGCGGCGGAGCGCCGATCAATAATTGAAACGCTGCAGGTTAAACATGACAGAGGTGACCCTGCATTATTCATCACACACACCAAGAGCCTTTTTTCTGCAGACACCCGGCTACACTGTCACCGCGCGGTCACCAGGAACCCTGATTTCCTGCCCCGAACACCAGAGGACATTCGAGCAAGAAGCTGGCTCATTTCTACGCCCAGTGCAGCGTTTATTTATGCCCCTGTCAGCTGAGAGGGCAATTAGGCAGATAACGCTTCAAAGGACAGAAATACAAGGAGGAGGAATCAAACGGAACTGTCTCACGCAGTAACACAGCCGGCTGAAGCTCGGACTTGTTTACTAGCAACGCACAGACTCGCACGCAAATTTTCTTTCTTCGGTACAAACTGAAACGTGTCTGTGGGACACGTAAGTTCCAACCTTTTATGTTTAGTTCACTCGGCTCAACTCTGAGCCAGATTTACTGCTCCCCGACAGTTTTTACGTTCGACGAGTCTAGAGGCAGTTCACAGAAACAATCCAACCTCTGGACTTGTTATGGATCTAGAGATCTAGACCATAAACTCATGTTTACTGAGGGAAAAAATCAAGATAGTCATTTTCCCATAGATGTCTATGGGACCAGAGGAGTCGCCCCCTGGTGGTCACTACAGAGAATGCAGCTTTTTTTTTAATATTTGGTGGTTGACGCCTCAACCAGATCTCCTTTAATCTCTGTTTACTCATGAAGCTTTGACTTCACGCTGGAGAACTGAAGGTCGCTTCATGTATGATTGTTTATAATCTTGTCAGCTTTGGCAAAGCTTTCCCATTTGCCCAGTTGGTAATCTGGACTTTATCGATAGTCGGTATGTTTAAGTATTCTTCAAGCACATAATTACTACAGACATCCAAAAGACATTCAAAGTTTGCCTTGTTTTGTGAGTAAAGAAAAGGTTTGTAGGGAAATATTTGCAGCACTAATACATTAAAATAAAAAAAGCAATGAAATTAAGTTGCTCAAACAAGGACACAAAAAGCCACCATAATTTGAACCATTTCCTGCTTTTCTTTAGTCTCTCGTCACCTTTTGCTGTGATCTGTAGTCTTAGCTTCATCCGCTCTGCACGGCGTCCTCCAGGCATTATATATTCATCACGGTGACCTTTACACTGTCTGCTTCCCATAAACCTGTCAGCATGCAGCATCACGACACACCGACCTCCACCCGCTGCTTTGTCCACTATATCAAGTTATCATGTCATCTACGCTATAGAGGCTGACCTTAAGCAAGCAGCCAGTTAAAATGTATTAATCTGCAGCAACACTGATGAGCAAGATTTGGCATCTTGTTTTTTTTATTATCCATGCATATTAGCTGACCACTGAGGTCCAGAGACTATAGGATAATTCTATTTTAATACCACAGGTTTCTTCTTCTAATGTTATATTATTGTTTTCATTGTAACACTGTTAGCAGAAAAAAAACTTTTAAAAAAATGATATGTGTATATATTATTTATTTATTTTTTAAAGGTTTTTAGTTGAAATAATACACATCTTTAAATGACAGATATCTGCATACCTATCAAAATAATGGAATATAAATTCAAACAAATAAATAAAAGATTCTATCCTAAGATGATTTGATCAAATGTCCCGTCAGAAGGCGACGCTGTAATTAAACTCCCCCCGGTCAGTCGGTGGTGTTACCGGAGGACGGGAGGATGCTCGGACTCACCCTCGGCCCACGATGAGCCGCAGCGTCTCCAGGTTCCCGTGGTACGCGGCCCACAGGGTCGGTGTCATCCCGTCCTCATCCGGGGCGTTCAGCTCCTTCCGTGTGGCTTCCCGCAGCGCGTCCAGGTAGCCGTCCCGGGCCGCCCGGTGGTACCGGTCGTCCATAGCGGCGGCCCGGCTCACTCTCGGTTCGGTGCCATGGAGGTTCTGGAGCGTCCGCCTCGGTGTTCGGGCAACGTTTTGGACCGAGACGCGGCGGGTCCGGACGGCCTGGAGAGGCTGACGGGCTGGTTGCTAGGAGACGAACGCGCTGCGTGCTGGTTGTCAGGCCGGGGCGGGGTTTGACGGTTAGTCCCGCCCCCTTTCACAGTGTAGGCCAATAGAAGACGAAAATAAATGAAGATTACATTTTTAAAAAGTACATAGATAAACTCAATCATTATCATTTGGTTTAAACGATTATGTTAATTGTACAAATAATCTAATTAATTATTAATAATTATTAATAAAGTATAATAAATAAAACAAGAGAATAGGAGGGTTGTTTCGTCCTACAGCAAAACAAACAACAAGTGGAATACAATAAAATGTCATCCTTGAGGGTAACAGACTAGAATAGATTGAAGTACAACAGAAAATAAGAGAACAGAATATACACATATAGTACTAAATTCATAGAATAGAAAAGGACAGAATATTTAATAAATGAATAGAACTGAGCATGCAGAGGGCAGTGTGTCCTGAAACAGCACATACGAAAATGAAAAAATCAAAGCAACATTCTTTGCAGTCATTGTGATAAAGAAGTACAGTACATTTGCTTTAGACATGCAAACATGTTGAACTATTAGCTGCCACTTAGGGCGCCACAGCGATAAAAGGCGGGTTACGTTTAGAAGTCATTTCCTGCAGATTGTATGCACAGTGACGCCACGGCGCCCGGAGCCAGCTGATAAAACGGAGACTTATACCCCATTCAGGAGAAGTTCTCAGGTCATTTGGCACACTGAGCAAACAGACCTGTGTTTCCCTGGAAGGTGTGTGGGTAAACGACATCGGGACCACACCTGTACAGGCACGAGGAGGCGGACCGGAATGATTACTCGGACCCAGGTGACGCAATCCTCCACATGTTTCACAGAAAAACAGCCGACTGAATGGAAACCAGAAAGAGGGGAAGGAGGATTTAGAGACTTTAGAAGGAATTAAATATGAACGCAGATCCCGGAGCCACGGAGGCCGATTCCTCCCGGGCAACGCCCAGAGGTGTGGAACCCGTCCAGGACTCGGACCAACGGATCCAGGACCTGGGTCTGGAGCCGGGTCAGGTCTGGGCCCCCAGCGGGAGGCGTCTGATCTCCGGCCTGCTAGGTTTGAACGTGGTGCTGCTGGGCGCGGCCCTGGTGGCCGGCCAGGCCTTCAACCCCGAGGCCCTGAAGCACCAGGAGCCCCAGGCCTTCCTGCTGCTGCTGATGGGGGTCAGCTTGATCTGGATGCTGTGGTACCTGCTGTGGGCCCGGAAGCAGCCCGGCATCAGCCCGCACAAAGACCACCACGCCGGGGGGATGGCGGTGACGGGTGAGCCTCCTTGTTTACTCACTTGAAGTCGCTCTGGACCGCGTACTGATGTGTGTCCCTCTGCTCCGGTCCAGTGGTCCTGATGCTGTTCGCCGCCTTCAGCCTGCTGCTGTGCGTCTTCAGGGGCGGCTACCTGATCAGCACCAGGCAGTGTAAGCCCACTTCTATGGTGCTCTCTCCCTTCATCGAGGCGCCTTTCCTCGCGCTGCAGGTGATCACATTTACCTTCTCGGCTCGCAAGGAGCTTGTAGGAAGACCTCGTCATGTAGATGAAGACCGTTGGAGAGGAGTTAAAGAAGAAACCCAGACTGTGATGTTCGTCTTTGGCCATGAACTGAAGTGATTTCATGAATCAAAATCATTAAAATAGAAAATTATCCTGGATCAAACTTTTTGTTAACTTTATGCAACATAACTGGTCACAAGATCTGCAGAAGTTTCTCATGCAGTAATTCATCTTTGTTTTTCCTCAGCACGTTGACAGCATTTTGACACAGGTTATAAAATAAAGGAACCTCTAAATTCAATGTGATGATTGGATAACTGTTAACTTTGCTTCTGCAGTCGTACTTGTTGTGGTCTCACTCCAAAGACTGCATCCACAGACACAAGATCATCACCAGGTGCATTCCACGCGTCTTCGCTGTTTCACTCATGGTGGTTTCGGCGTGTTGATGGCGGCTTCTCACGGCTGTATCTGTGCTGCAGGTCCGGTTTGATGCTGATCCTCTCAGCTGACCTGCTGCTGTGGCTCAACGCCGTGACGGAGGACTCCGTCCACCAGGAGATCGAGTTGGAGAAGCAAGACGGGCTCCGTTTCAGCAACACAACCTCCTCCGAAGCAGAAAACTCTGATGTAGCAGGTAGTCAAACCTCACATGTACAAACACAAGCAGTCAGTGACCATTTATTCATTCAACAGTCCAATTCATGTGCTAGAAATGTATGAAAATGAGCACATATTTAATAAAAGAATGCCTCATTTACATATTTAAAAATAACTGATGATTTCTTGTTAATTTGATCTCCCGCCTCCAGGGATCCTGAACTCGACGCTCTGTCGTTGCGCCGCGAGCTCCGCCTGCCTCGCCTTCCGGAAGGGCTTCGAGGTCCTCTACCCCTTCAACATGGAGTACTACCTGATGGCCGGCTGCATGGTCTACGTCATGTGGAAGAACGTCGGCCGCAGGGTGAGCCCGGGCCACGCGCACCACGTCACCCAGAAGCTGACCCTGAAGGTGGTGTACCGGGGCGGCGTCGTCTACGGCCTGGCGTCCGGTGCCCTGGTGCTGGTGGTGGGCGTGGTCGTATTTGTCCTCTACCAGGTGTGGGTGGGCCGGCAGCGGCTCCGCCCCACCGCCTTCCTCATCTTCTACGGCTACCACCTGGCCGTCATGCCCGTCATGTCGCTGTGCTGCCTGGCGGGGGTGCTGGTCCACCGGCTGGAGAGGAGGGCGGAGGAGGCGGGGCACAACCCCACCCGCAGCCTGGACGTCACGCTGCTGGTGGCGGCGGCCCTGGGCCAGCTTGCCCTGTCTTACTTCTCCCTGGTGGCCGCCCTGGCGGTGGGGACCGGCGGGTCCCTGGGCAGCCTCGACCTGTCCTACTCCCTCCTCAGCCTCCTGCAGCTCATCCTGCAGAACATCTTCATCATCGAGGGCCTCCACAGGCACCCGAACCCGCTGGCCAGGAAGGAGGAGCGGGCGTGCAGCAGCATCTTCCAGGTACCCGCAGGTCACCCGAGCCTTGGGCCTTTGGAGCTCGGTCATTAAAAAGGTTTTTCCCCACAGCTTAAGAAGAAGGTTACAACGCCAACGAAAGAGGAGAAGACAAACACGTCACTGCTGGATGGGGCCGCGCCACATGCTGCCATAGAGCATGATGGGAAAACCCCCTGGACCAAAAGAGCGATACAAGAAGTCTGTGCTTTCCTCATCCTGTCCAACGTTATGGTAATGTGTGTTCATCATGTGACTCGTGCGGCATTACGAGCTTCTTTCCCGCACGTGTAACGCTCCCGTGTCCCCCCCCCGTCCCCCGTCCCCCTGCAGCTGTGGGTCATCCCCGCCTTCGGCGTGCACCCTCAGTTTGAGAACGGACTTGGGAAGCAGTTCTTCGGCTTCTCGCCGTGGTTCGTTCTGGTGAACTTGGGTCAGCCGCTTGGCGTCTTCTACCGGATGCACTCCGTGGGAGCGTTGATGGAGCTGCTGATTGCCGCGTGACACCGGCGGAGGCCCGACCGAGACTGCTGAAGATGCCAGGAAGTTCAGGGGGAACACATTTTAGAAACTATTTGGTTGATACAGTAAGAGGAGATCTCTGAGGCTGGTGGTTCTAGTGAGGCATCAACCACCAAATCTTCAAAAAATAGCTGAATTCTCTGTAGTGACCAGCAGGGGGCGACTCCTCTGCTCCCATAGACGTCTATGAGGAAATGACTCTACTTCTCTGTAGTGACCAGCAGGGGGCGACTCCTCTGCTCCCATAGACGTCTATGAGGAAATGACTCTACTTCTCTGTAGTGACCAGCAGGGGGCGACTCCTCTGCTCCCATAGACGTCTATGAGGAAATGACTCTACTTCTCTGTAGTGACCAGCAGGGGGCGACTCCTCTGCTCCCATAGACGTCTATGAGGAAATGACTCTACTTCTCTGTAGTGACCAGCAGGGGGCGACTCCTCTGCTCCCATAGACGTCTATGAGGAAATGACTCTACTTCTCTGTAGTGACCAGCAGGGGGCGACTCCTCTGCTCCCATAGACGTCTATGAGGAAATGACTCTACTTCTCTCCTGATTTATTCCCTCAGTAAACGTTGTAAACATGAGTTTATGGTCTCAGTCTCTAGTTTCAAGTCTTCTTCAACACAACATGATGTTCATTTAGTAAATTCATGTCAAAACAGACCATAAAGCCGGGCTGGCGTTAGGGTGGGTCTGGACAATGATTGACAGGTGTGGGTCTGGACAATGATTGACAGGTGTGGATCTGGACAATGATTGACAGGTGTGGGTCTGGACAGTGATTGACAGGTGTAAGAGACGTCTGTGTTTTTTTTCTTACAGCTTTGATGCTTTCACAGTCCAACTTTATGAAAGTTAATTCCAACATCTTGGTTGCATACACATATGTTTCAAATGGTAAAACATACAATAATATTTAGTTTGACCCTTTCCAATCTTTAGTTTCTGGTCCATGAAAATGTTCAATAAATGAATGTTCAATAAGCATCACCTTTCATGATTATGTCATATTTAATAACCATTTGGCATTGCTTATAATACAGGTTGTATGTGATACAAAGTGGTGAGTGCTTTGACACGGTTCTGAAAATCGCCAGGACGAATCAAGCACAAGATCTTCACTGCTTGTTTTCTTTCGAGATCACCAGAAAGCGACATGTTCCTCCGGTCCAAGTTCAAACGGGAAGAAGGTAAAAAACGATCTCAGATCAACCGGTGAGTTTGTGAAGAGAACAAAGTCAACCGGACGCCTTCTAAATCCTCTGGATCTCAAAGAGACGGATGTCCGTGTCGTACCAGATCGGAGGGTCCACGTTGCTACGGAAACAAAACAAACAGGTCAGTTATTGGAAATACATCTGCGAGACGGTTTCAATTGTAGTTTTCACCACATAACACGGAGGATGAAACGGGGGCTCGCTCACCGTAAGTAGATGACGCCCCACATGTAGGTGCGGAACCACATGGCCGTGCCGGCGTTGGCCTGGTACTTCCTGATGAGGATGGGATGAGGGACGGGCAGCAGGCCGACCAGGGTACCGTGCTGAAGGAACTTCAAGATCTCAGACTCGTCTGTCAAACCCCTGAAGACAATAACAACAAGCGTTAATGTGAGGCTCTATTAGCTGGTCCTGAACCAGCTTCAGGTCAGTCCTGATCGTCTATATGAGAAAGTCTCACTTTAGTCCTGAACACATGGTGCAGGTTTACCGAGCGTCAGTAGGCGATTTTATTTTAATAAACAGAATAATAACTTTGTTTACATCAGGAGCCGAAAGAGGAACAAGCCGTAATCTACCATTTACCCCGAAACATGACAAGATTATTATCATTTCTCACTTGTCGATGCAAATCTTCTCCACCTGAGGGACCAGCACCTGTAGCAGCCGCATGATGGTCTGCAGAGGGAGTTTGATCTCCCAGAAGGACATCTGGGACAGGAGCGGCCCCGGGGGATGGCCCAGGGGACGGAGAGCAAATGCAGAAGGGAGGGACATGAAGTAGAGGGGCCTTCTACTCCCCCAGTCCGTGCGGGCGCTCCGGGTACCGGACGACCACCCCCTCGCCAAGCGACTCCTCGCGGCCTGCGGGGGCCAACCCTTCCAAAACAAGGGGGGGGGGGGGGGGGGGGCTGTCACTTTAACCGCAGAAGGACGTGGAGAGTGAGGCGGACCTGAGGGCTGGTTTTACCTCGCCGTCCCCCTCCAGGATGGACTCGCCGGCTGCAGGTGGCTGGGCGGAGTCCGGCTCAGCCACAGTGATCATGGTTCCGTCCAAGCTCACCTGGGACTTCTCGGTTATCTTATCGATTTCTGAGGGACGCATGAGAATGACTTCTTTAATGTTTTTTGCCCGCCCTCTGCCGTTGGGGAGAACACCGGGTGGCCTGAGCTCACGTGAGTGTGAGCAGACCTCTAGTGTATGAGGACCGTACCTGGAGTGGCCTCTAAACTGGCTTTGAGGGATCCGGGCCCGGCGGGAACAGCAGGCGTGGACTCGTCCGTGGACTCGGCCTCTGCAGAGTTGCTCCTAGAGACTCCGGGCTTCTTCTTCCTCTGCAGCGCCCTCTGGATGGACGCCCCGTCGGACGGCAGGTTGGCCAGCTGGTGGAAGACGTTCCTCTTCCTGATGATGGCGTACACCAGGTTGCAGTTACCTGTGTGGCAGAGTTCAGTTGGAGGAGCCTGGAATCTTCATTGGACCTCGCAGGTTGTTGTTGTCTTTTAACGTTCTCACCATCAAACTGGTACTGGATGATGTTGTTGAAGACCTCCAGAAGAAAGAAGACCAGGTGGTGGTTCTGCGGGGAGGAGAAGAGGAACCAGGGGGTGGAGAAGGCTTCCAGGAGGTGGAGCAGCTTGTTGGCTGCCAACATGGACAGGCTCTTCAGATAAGGAGAAACTGGGGGGCGAGAAACGGAGGCTTTAAAACCCTCTTTAACCAGCAGAGGGCGACGTGGCGTCTCCCGTACTCACTGTTCACTATGATGGTGAGCAGGCAGTCGAACAGCGGCTGCAGCCGCTGGTGTCCACCCGTTATGATCTTATGGAAGATCTACACACAAAGGGAACGTCAAGAGCTCTGCTGATGTAGTCACTCACAAGAACATCAGAACATACAACAAGGCGGGCGAGATATCTACAGAAAGTCCACTCGTTCATGTGACATCACCAGAACCAGCAGGTCAGCGTGTGTCCCCGTGAAGACGGCGATGTCCATCGGCACCCGGAGAGCGTACGGCTTGTTCAGACGCACGCCGAAGTTCCTCTCCCCGCTCAGCAGCAGGAGGATGAAGACGCCGATGTGCATGAGGCCCACGCGAGCTGCAGTCGCACAAACGGGAGCTGTTCAATAACGATTCCCCCAGCGGACACGAGGACGCGCGCGAACACGAGGGGTCACTCACACTGATCTGCTCTGGCGTCGTTCAGGCTGAAGAGGATGGGAACCAGCACGTCCAGCACGTCGCTGCTCTTCAGCACGAAGAACAGGAACTTCTAAAGCCCACACGGACACAACAGGTCCTGTTTACTCGCTCGCGTTACAAGCACGTCTTTACTTTTTCCATGTTTAAAAGGGACCCCCGGACCCCCCCGTCCCGTCCATGCAATGTCGTCTGGATTATTTCGCCCGAGATGAGCTTTTAATGCTTCAAAGTTAGCAAGTTAGCTTCTGGTTACCTTCACAGCAATCGCTGCTAAGCTACAGCAGAACGTTGCTAACAGGGAAACGATTAGAGAGAGATGCTTTCAGCTTCATCTCCACACCTTGTTGTAGTCACAGAACTTCCAGAAGAGGATCAGCAGCTCCTGGTGGAACTGGATCTTCTTGGCGGAATGAGGCAGGTAAGTTTGGACCAGGGGATTGTTCATCAACCGAGCCAGACCTTTCAGGATGAAGCTCAAGTCCTGACGACCACAACATAAAGAACACTTTAACGTCCTACAGCATCGTCCTGCATTCAGTGCTAGATGGTTGCGCTTTACCTCACCTCTTCTCGGTGTATCCTGGAGAGATAATTCACAAAGAGGTTGTCAGGCCCGGCAGGCTGAAGAACAGACAAGAGGGGATTTGAAAACCGCAGACTGAGCGCCAGAGCTTTCCTCGTCACAACGGACCCTCTCACCTCCTGCTCCTCGCCGCCGGAGGGGGAACCGCAGGAGTCCAGCGCCCGCAGGGCGGCACTGGCGGCCGACCCGCCCTCGTGCTCCAGGCTGACGATGAGGATCTGCACCGCCTGCTCCACCAGCTGCTCCCGCTGGTCGGAGAACAGCAGGTGGTTGTACGGGATGCCGTATCCGACGGGGTCGTAGGCGCACACCACGTTGAGCAGGGAGGTGAACAGCGGCAGGGCGTGTCTGGCAGGGCGAGAGGCGAGAGAAGAGGTGACGACTGAGGACGCGAGGCGATGACCTGAGGGGCACGTGTTGGCGTTACCTGTTCTCTGAGGAGCAAAAGAAGGACACCCAGGGATTGAGGCTCCGCCTCTCCGAGGACGGAGGGAGGTACATGGCCTCGGACAGACAGGTGAGCAGCAACTTCAGCAGCTCCGTCCTGAGCAACGGGATCAAAGGCCGGAGCGACGTTACATGAAGAGTCCCTAAACATCTGCAATACGCTGACATCGCTACGTCCAGCTGTGTGTCTGGTGAAGCCAGAGCGCCATTTGTTAAAGCTGCATTCTATCGAGTGTCCACAAGGGGCGGCGACTCTTATATTCATATATAGAAATAATGCAGCTACACGGTGGAAAACGTCTCTGCTCCGCTGAAGTCGGACAGCTTTCGATCAAAATTCCTTGGAAATCTTCTTCTATTCTGAAATGTCACCAACCTGTTGAGGTCGTGCACGTAGTTGAGAGGAGGCGACTGAGCGAAGCCGACGCCGGCCTCCCAGATGTACTCGCAGCTGTCTATGGATCCGATGTCCTCGGCAGCCGAGTCCTGCGGCAGACAGCGAGAGACGTGTTGTCATGGCGATGGCCGACTGTTGAGTCGTCGAAACCCAAACCACTGAAGATTTTTTTCAGAACCGGCAAAAAGTATTTTGTGGAGGAATTCAAAATGGCAATTAAACTAAATTAACTAAATATCATCATCCAAAACAAACAAAAGCATTGAACTGTGATATTTAACCTCACTTCTGATCCTTAAGCGACATTAACATGAGCCGGATGCTAACGTGTTCACACCCACTTCCCCCCCGTGTGATTCAACAAGTGCTCCATGCTGACAGCGTGCCACCGATAAGTCATGAATAGATTCTTCATGAGTGAGCTGACAGCAAAGGGCGCCGTGCCACCAAAACAGACCGGGGGGGGGGGTCTCGCTCAGCTTGTGGGGAAATGACCTTTACCGCTCAAATCTCACACGCTTTGACGACCAGCAGCCGCCGGGCCACTTTTCACCTCGGGGGAGGAGGGAGGAGGGAGGAGGGGAGGGACAGAGGGAGGCAGGAGGCAGGAGGCAGGAGCTTTCTGTGTCCCTCCCTCTGCAGCGCCAGGTGTTTGCTCAAGGACAAGGAGACGTGTCCACCCCGGCCACCTCAGCCCCGTTGACAAACACGGCCACAACTCATTAACTTGAGCAACCGCAGGCCGCGCGAAGGCGTGACGGCGCCGCGACACGGGGAGTAAATAACAAGACGCCGTTGACTCGGGTTTCTAAAAGTGGACCAGCTTAAAACCTGCTGCCTAGCTTAGCATAAAGACTGCAGGAGTAGCTCGCCACGCGATCTCGATCAACAACTTAAAGCACTTACACGGACACCAACAGTCCTATTTACTGACGATATGAGGCAACGTGTTAAGACCGGTCCGACGTCAGTCACATGACGCCATGCGCTCCAGCTGCATTGTGGGACAAGAAGGCCCAACTGAAAGTGGCGGACTCACCGGGCCGCCCTTCTTGTGGCTCTGAGCCGTGAAGTCCGGACAGAAGAGCAGGTCGGCGATGGCCAACAGCAGCGACTCCGCCAGCGGCCGAGCTTCGTCTTCGTCGCCATCTTCGTCCAACCGCTGGTGGACAAAGAGACGAGTTAGTGGACGCGAGGGATGTCTGTGCGGATTAACGCTAGTTGCCAGGCTAGCCGTTTCCCTCCGCTTCCAGTCTACGTGCTACGCTACAGCTAACGGTCTGCAGAAGTTTAAAATATTAAAAATGGTCACATGATGCAATTAAATGTAAAATACACGACCGACAGCAGCAGCGTCACTGGACACTTTCTATCAGACGTTTCTGTAATGGTGTCCAGGACGTTGGGGGACTAATGAGGAACATCTTCTCGTTCTCTTCTTCGGCTCCATCTGCTGCAGCTCAGCGTCTCACTGCAGCCGTTAATTAAGAGACATCCAATCCGTCCTCAATCCAGCTGGTCAGGACAATACGGGCAGTGTGTTTGCCCCGTGGGTCCCAACGGCCACCAGGTAACCAGAGAGGGGGGGGGGGGGTCAGGCTCTCTACAGCTTCTGCTCTGACAATCGGCATCACTTCTATCCGCTGAGGATCATCACGGCCGCTGAGCTCAAAAGGCTTTAAAATCCACAGACGAGTTTCCTGCGTCTGCCGTCAATTTGATCCGTGCGAGTCGCATCTAAAAACAACGGACAGCTGTTGTGCGGTTGACCTTAATATGGCTACGGTCTGTTGATTCCCATCTCTCAGTAGATACCGGCCACATTTCATCATCCGTGTTTGAAATCAGGGTTTTACGTCAAAGAACAAAAAGCCGTCTCAATAAAAACGTGTCCTTTTTCTTTCCCATTTCCTTTGCGAAAGGAAACGGAATCATCCGCCACTTTGCTGTCACATTCAACCGAAAATAGCTTTTCAAATGGCTTCCTGTCAATTGCAGACGTCAAACATTAATGTAGAGAAGGAGACACACACGACTTGTAGAAGTGTGGATTCTCGTTTCCTCCTACAGTTCACTCCTTCTCCTCCTGCGAAAACAATGACTGACTGAGGCGTTCTGTGATGCGGTTTAAGGCGCCGTCAGAACTACGTCGCGGTTCAGCCCCACTGCTTCCCGTCCCCGGAGTCGTACCCCGGAGGCCCCGGCCCCCGGCACCGTGGACCAGAAGAAGCCTCTCCAGTCGGCGTCCTCGAAGATGTAGGGCAGGACGCGCGTGAGCAGGCGGCTGCAGTTCAGGACCACCTGCCGCTCGCTGTCCGACGGGCAGCCGCAGCCGGCAGCCTGAACCAGGCGCTCCACGGCCTGGTGAGGGGGGGGGGGGGGGGGGTAACAGGGGAGGGTAGATGGGGTATAAAAGTCAGAGCTCAGGAGAGGACAAGAGGACAACAGGTCATTAAGGGGTCACCTGGTGACCCCATTGGATCGAATCACGCTCGCACTGCTGCAGGAAGTATTCTCATTCTACTGCTGGATTCAGCTGGGGACGTTTTTTTCGCTGAAGTTTGTACAGAGACAATAAAAGCTTTTGATTTCTGCCACAAGCAGGATGGAAAAGTCCTTTTTGGCAAAGAAAAAGGGTAAAGACGACATTCGATACGGAAACAAGAGTGAAGCAACTTCTTTATCTCAGAAACAAACCGGTTCCTTCATGCAAGAAATGTGGAATCGCCGGTCTCTTCTGCTGCTTCGATTCTCGTCCTCCAATAACCTTTGACCTTTACAAGCTCAGAGACGTGTGGCGTTTAAAGTGTGGGAACTGCCAACAGCAGCATTCCTCTGACTGTGACGGTCTCCAGGACGGACCGACACACCACAGAAGCCCCCCCCCTCTTGTGAATGCAGATCACCTTGTAGCAGAGGGTTGCCAGGTTGGATGGAGACTCCTCCCTGACGGCTCTGATCTCTGCGGCCGGCACCAGAGCGAAGACGTCCTGGACGGTGGTGCAGGTGTCGGCCCAGAACTGATCCCAGAAGGCATCGTCTGAGGGTTCTACGGGCTGCAGGAGGGCACACGGGTCGTATATGTGAATATGGGTCCACAAGAGCACAGGTCACCGAGCAGGGGGGCCCAAAACGCACTGACCTCCACCTGCAAGAGGTCAAACTCAAAACAGCTACCGAGAAAAAATAATAATAATCAAAGTCACTGAAATCATTACAAAGAGAAACATGAATTTGTCTAAGAAATATAAACCGAGCACAAAGATCCACAGAATAAAACACACTACGAGACCGAGGAGCTCAACAACTATGACGGCGGTTTTTATTTTTCCTAAAACACACTTGCTCATCTCTGGTGGATCTTTTACACCAAATTACTGTATTCCTCGCATGTGTTAATATAAATCTTAAATAGTACGTAAATTGTGGGAAATGCCTGATGGTTGTTTTGTTAAAAAAAAATAAGACGCAAGATGTTGAAGTAGATATTGCATAAACATGATTAGGTCTTTGTCCTAAAGGATCGTTTTGTTTTGCACTAAAACGGGCGGCGACTCGTTGCTCCACCTTAAATCTACCTGGCAGGTAAACGTGTCTGAAGGGACACCAATCAAACGTTAACAAGAATATAAAAAAATGCAACACTGATGTTTTTTTAAACCAGCATGTGGACCCCGAGGGGCCAAATTGAGTGTTTCCAGCACACATAGAGATAAATATCCACAATTCAGAGGGAATGTTTGTGTCTCAGGTGGAGATCGAGCTGCATAAACTGCCACCATCAGGCCACCATCTGTTGCCCCAACTTCATCTCCACGGGCTCCGTTTAAAAGCTACCGACGCGCCCCCGCGTGGCCCCCCGCGTGGCCCCCCGCGAGCGACCCACCTGCGTCTTGGTCGTGAGTTGAATCACCGCCTTCCTGAAGTGGAGTTTGGTGTCGGCGTTCCCCATTTCGCGTCGAGCAGCGGCCGCCGGTCGCTCGGTGCGTGCTGACGAGGAGGATAATCTCCCTCATCCAGCGCGCACGGCGCTGCGCTCTGCCGCCTTCACGTACGGGTCGGAAACTCCAGCTTCAAGTAGCGCGCACGTCAACAGGGAACGGAGCGATTAGTGCTTGTGTTGATGTGGTTGTTTTAAAGAACGTACAATGTGTGGCGGGTTTGTGGTGCCGCAGCCGTAAAAAAAAGGGGGGTGAGAAGAAGAAAGTTCATTGAAATAGAAAAAAACTGTATGAAGTTTATTGTTGTTGTTGTTGTTTTTAGCAAAGTCGTTGTATATCACTGTTTCTGCAATGATGAACTACACGACAACGTTTCGCATACTGGTGTTTGATATGTTCCAATTCTGATCAGGATAACTTCGTGTATATAAATCCGACGGCTCTTAAACGCATCCTGAACCAAGCAGGATCCTCTACTTCCGGGATCCCAAAGCACATAAGTGTGTTTTCCTTCGCGTTGGTCATTGGACAACCGGGCCTTCATTTTCATAATTATTCAGGCAGGTATGAAGACAGAAATGTCACCATCGTCATCTTCATCATTATCATGTTCTTCATCTTCATCATCATATTACATAATTCCATCAGAACCGCATGAGGTCAATGGTAGTTTTATTGTTCATTTTTCCAATTAATACATTATTCGAATCAATAAATTCAGATTCATATGAAGTTATACATTTAAAATACAACATGGCTCTCAAAAGCAAAGACTGTATATAAAGTGATCGCTGTCGTGCTGACGTCACAGTGGTTTGTGGACTGAGGGTTTGACATCTAGGTGTTTTTTTGTTTGTTTTTTAATGTTATTTTTGAGTTAACCTTTTGTCCCAAATAAGATATTTGGCAAAATAAATGATCTGCCTTCCCTTATTTTTGATTATTAATCTTGAATTTGATTTTGTTTTTTTTAAAGAAAAGAGATAAAAGTAAAAAAATATCCAACCTAACAAATATGGTATTTTTTGGTTCTTTGGTCTTTATTTTCCATGAATAATTTAGTCATAGTAATTTTTTACTTTTCCTTCATAACATTTTTTACCTAATAGATTTGGACTGTTATATTTGGACTTTTCTTTCGTAGTACATAATATTTTTAAGGTGGAAAGAAAAAGAGTCATAGAATATTATGAAAGAAACGTTTTCACAAAGAAATTTAAAAACATGTAATGGTGGAAAATGTTTTAAAAAATACGTTGTAGCTAGAAATGTCAGGGGAAAAAACAAATATTAGGTCAAAAAATGTTTTGATAAAATAGTCAAAATATGTAAGGGATGGAATGTAATTGAAAAAAGAGTCAAAGAATATTATGGAAAAAAATGAATTTAATATTCATTTAATATTCATATTCATTTAATAATTAATTTCAATTAAAATGAAAGTCTAAATATGTAATTTTGAAAAATGTTTTTCACGTTGTGTCTAGAAATGTCATGGAAAAAAGTATGTAAGGCGGAAAAATGTAATGGAAAAAAATGTTTTGAAAAATAAAGTAGAAATATGTTGACAACTGTTTTAAAAAATAGTAAAAAAATATGTTGGGGGAAAAAAAGTAAAAAAAATATTGGTTTCTTGATCCGGGGTGTGAGTAAAAGTAGGTTTTTGTAGACTGAAATCCTCTTGTTTCACCGTAGTGGAAGTATAATTAAGGCATCTGTTGAAGAGCAGAGGTGCATCTTCCACAGCATGAGATGGAATTCTTATTTGAAAGGTTCTCTTTTTATACCGAGACACTCACTCATTAAAGAGAAAAACCGAACAGACAGTGATGCTGCAGTTGTTCTTTTATCTTTTAACTCCATACTCAAACCAATAAATCAAACTCAAATAAACTAAACTACAGTGCAATATAAACCTTTTATGTTGAGGTTTGATGTTAACATGAGGAAAACATAAATGACACTCTGTATTTAGTTAAAGGGCACTGAGATAGAAGCTGAAGAACAGTATGATGATTCTGACCTCATGACTCCACCTTGTGGAGAAACGGAGGTATTAAAATCAACAAAGTAATGCTTCACAAAGGTTGTATTGGTTTGAAATGTGAATAATAAACATCGTCGTTTCTTGTGGTTCAAAAGCAGTGAGCTCATAACAGGAGAACTGTTACATGTTTTGAGTTGATTATGTCTGTGGCCCAGTGGGGTGATTCTTATAGTGAAGTTGTGATGCTGAGACTTGTCAGTCCTGGAGCAGGTTAGTTCTGCCTGCAGGTAAAGTTCCTGGAGGACGTGATGATCAGCCATCTGTCAGTATCACAAAGGGTCCAACCAGAGGTCACCACCACAGCTGTGATGTTCCTCTAAATTAACAGAATTATGGATTGTTATGATGGAATATAATATATTTATTATTCTACAACCCATTGCATTAGCATTTCATTTTACTTTATTTTATTACTTGTGCACTGCTGTCTTGTTGTCTACTGTCACGCACCAACCGCCAAGACAAATTCCTTGTATGTTTGACATATTTTGGCAATAAATGTTTTCTGATTCCTGATTCCTGATTATTCTGTTAACGAGGCGTCCCCCTTTTCAGCCTATCACATTGAAACAGAAAGCATGACCGTGCGTTTTTCCCCCCTTCTTGTAATGCTGAGTCAGCATTCATCTGGGAGTCAGCTGACATGAAAGAAAATAAGGCTACATTTTATAACATTAAGCATTTCTGTAGCAGATGTTACATGAACTTTGAATATACTCAACTTTAAAAGTGACCTCAACTCATGTTACTGAGGTTACGCCATCAGTGTAAATATGAATAATCATGTTGGGTTGGGGGGGGGGGTATGTGAAGTTCTTACAAGAGGGAAATAAACACTGTTAAACTGTTTGCATAGAACAACGGATATGTACAAAAACACATCACCACCCGTTGCTCCTTTAAGCCAGATTGACTCCACCACCCAAATGCATTAATAAAAGACCGTCTGTGTCCTCTGAGGTGCTTCTCCTTGGTTCATCTGAAGCCCCCAATGTCTCCTGCCCAGCAGCTGCAGCTGCAGATAACAGGCAGAATTTATCTGAAGAGCCTCCTGCACCGTAAATTTGGCGAAGAACCATCGGACTGACATTTGATGTTTATTTGTCAAAGTCTACAGGCGATTTCCGGGGGGGGAAAAGTGTGAAATAAGAAGCAACTCTGATTCCAGATAAAGGGACACTTGTTTTTACAGCATGGACTTTTGACTATTCAGCGGAGACACTGCACGTCCACCTTCCACCAGCAGGTGCACTTTGACGCGCATGGGTGCGATGGCTGAAGTCTCCACGTGACGCAGGTGGAGCAGCAGATAGCGCAGTGGTGCGGAGCCCCCACCCTGCCCTGGCTGCTGGCCGATAACACAAAGCAGGGAAACAGCGCGACCCTGAGAACACCACCATCGCGCCACCTCTTTCCCCACACGGAAGGAGTCGTGAAAAAAAATGGTCGATTAGCGGCCTTTTACGCACGCATTTGTCTCCTGCTGTGACTCTGACCGCCGCCGTGAAGTCGTCTCTCACTCCGGATCTTCAGCTGTGAGCTGCCTGCACAGCGATGCTCTCCAAGAAGCAGAAAGACCTGATAGCGGAAATATGGGAAGGGTTGATCTCTGTGGCAGACGATATTGGAGCAGACGCGCTGCTCAGGTGGGTTCTTGTGGTGATTTGCACATTTATAAATGCATTTAGAAGTAGTGGTACTAGTAGTCATGTTGAGATATCAGATTGACGGATAGTTAGGATGGACTGCTGCCCACCTTATGCCCTTATGAACTCCTTTCAAAGCTCTTTCTCGAAGGACTCAATGGTTTATTACCACTTATTATTAAGCCATCGACATATACAAGTCTAGACGTGACGGCATTCTATGTTATTACTGTTGGTCTGATTGATAAACACATAAATCATGCCGCTCTCACTGCATCATCTCACGATCAGTGATGTTCAACATGATGCTGATGCTGATGCTGAAGAGGAAGAAGCGCGAGATGTTGCGCATCAGTCTCGGCGTGTTTCTTTAGTGTTTCCTGTGTTCCCCGATCCGTCCGCAGGATGTTCGCCTCTTATCCCGGTACCAAGACCTACTTCTCCCACCTGGACATCAGCCACCGCTCCGCTCACCTGCTCTCTCACGGGAAGAAGATCGTGCTGGCGATCGCGGAGGGGGCCAAAGACATCAGCCAGCTGACCGTCACGCTGGCTCCTCTGCAGACGCTGCACGCCTACCAGCTGCGGATAGACCCGACCAACTTCAAGGTGCCCCCCCCACTGATGGACTGATGTAGACAGTACAGACCCCCCCCCCCCCCCTCCATAGGATGCTCGCTCTGATTTGTAATAAAGTAGTAAAGCACACAACTTGGGCAAAGTGACGTCACTCCAATCCGGATGAGCTCAACCTGACGTCATCAGCAGCTTCAAAACAAACGTGACTCACATTTCCGCTCATTTGTTATAACACGTGCTGTAGTTACACGTTGTCTTTGAGAGGAAGAGGGGGGGGGGTCTTTTTAATTGAATCCGCGTGCAGTCCTTTGGTCATTAACGAGCCCCCACCTTCTCTGCAGCTCTTCTCACACTGTATGCTCGTGAGCCTGGCGTGTCACATGGGAGAAGACTTCACCCCGGAAGCGCACGCGGCGATGGATAAATACCTGTCGGCCTTCGCTGCCGTGCTCGCCGAGAAGTACAGATGAGACCATCCGTGATGATATAGGACATGAAATATTTATTTTTGTGTAGTTGTCTGAATGCAATATTTTGTAATAATAAAATGTGCAATGAACTCAACTTCATTTCCAGATGTGTTTATTTCCAGATAAAGGCTGAGAGGGAGTTGATTTTTCCCATATTTCATGAACAAGAGATGCTGCGCATTTCGAGGCGAAATAAAGTGTCGGAAAAATGTATAAAATCTCCCTTCTCACTGCAGCCAGATTAATTATGGCTGCTGCATTTCTTTGGGCAGGACATTGATGGCGGACTGACACAAATGAACATGGTACCATATTTAGTTTAGTGAGATACACCACGTGTCAATCATAGACATTATGAGTCACCGGGACATCATCCACCGGCTTGATTGCAATTTTGAAGGCTCGATTTTGGTAATTCTGCCAATGCATTAATAGATCTTTGCAACCAATGAACGTTTAGAAAAGACGTAGAAGCAGCAACCTGTCAATCATAAAAAATGCATTCGAGCTTTTCCCATTTATTTATTTTCAACAAATTTCAAAAATGAATTTAACTTTTTTCTTATTTTTGTATTTCAGCCATTGTTTTACGTCGTTTGTCTAATTATTGTATTTTCAGCCTCAATTATATATTTAATTCCTTATTTCAGTTCTTTCAGATAAGTTCATTTCAGCTTTCCCCATTTGTGTATTTTAGCAGTTTTGTGAAATTCAAATCAGCTTTTAACGTTCAGAATTCCAACTTTCTTACTGCATTAAATGCATTTTATAAAGCATTTTTTAATTGATGAAATGGCGGATTGTTGGAGTTGGAAGAGTCAGTCAGTTTGAGCTAAATGTCTTCAGAGTATCTTCACAGTTCACAAGTCAAGAACTATGGCGAGCAAACGCAGGTTAGGACACTTCAGTTGGTTTGCTGGTTTGAAATGTAACCTCTTCCAAACACTTAATATCTTCAGATATGAGCACATTCAACCATCAACGGGTTCATGAGGCGTATTCACTGTCAGTGACGTTCAGAGAACGAGTTCATTATTTAAATAGTTACTTAAAGCTATTATATTATATTATATTCTATTTCATCGTTTTTTAAATACATTCTATTCATTAATGAATAATAGCTAAATACATGTATTTATATGTATATTATTGGAGGTGTATTGATGTGATTAGGAAACTACCATGAATTGTAATAATGTCTGATAAATTCTAACTTTATTTGTGTTTGTGGGGGGGCTACATGCCACGTGTTATCTCTAAAACCACTCTGGTTTTATCTCAATAAACACCGATCCATCCTCGGCATCGATGCCAAACTTCATATTTTTAATGGAGAAGATAACGGTGATGAACTCATTTCCTCCCCTTGTGAGGGAGCAAAATGCTCTGAGCCAAAATGCCAAATAAAATAAAATAATTACATCCCTAGAAAAACTTTAACTTTAATTAGAATAATACTTTTTTTAAAAGTTAAATAAAATGCACCACGTGATTGAATAGTTTTTATTAAAAACAACGAGGAACAAGAAATCCAACCAACAACTTTAGATTTTTAAGTTGCCGAAAAACAACCCATGCTAATAGAAAATAAGTGATGTGAAACAGGGCTTTGCTTTTGAAAATACATATTATATTGACGTTAATCTGACGTCACGCAGTGATGAGAGTATGAGGACAGCGGAGGTGCCGCATGTTGGCACATTCCACGACTATATGTTTGCCAACTGACGCCCACGATGCAGCCAGCTGATACCCCGCCGTGCCCCTCCTGACCCCCCTGCCCCCTCTGCCCCCCTCAGGCTGGCATCGGGCCACCGACGTTTCTATCAGGCGGGGAGGAAGGGTCCGATATGCGGCGGGGGCCGCGCCTTGGCATCGGGGGCCATGGGTGTGTCCCCGGAGGCAACATGATTTAAGTAGAGCTCCAAACCCTCCGAGTCAGTTAGAAGGAGAGAAGCAAGATGAGTTTGACTGACAAGGACAAGGCTACCGTCAAGGCCGTGTGGGCCAAGATCTCCAAGAGCGCGGACGCCATTGGGGCCGATGCGCTGAGCAGGTGAGTGTCCCGTCTGCAGCTTTCAGGTAGCGGATATTTGGTCGTTTTTAACTCTTACTTCAACATTTATTTGCTTATCAAAATGCTAAAAACGGGTGAAGGTCTACGGTGTGAGGCACGGGGGGTGTAGATAGACGTTCATGTTAATGTACCTGTCGACACGCATCGCAGAGAAGCTCCGCGGCAGCTTGTTCCTCGTCAGAAGAGCCGTGGAATCGTTTGGCACTAAACGGCCTCTCCTCCTCCGCAGGATGCTCGTCGTCTACCCGCAGACCAAGACCTACTTCTCCCACTGGCCCGACCTGGGCCCCAACTCCGCTTCCGTGAAGAACCACGGAAAGAACGTGATGGGTGGAATCGCTTTGGCCGTGAGCAAGATCGACGACCTGACCGCCGGCCTGCTGGAGCTCAGCGAACAGCACGCCTTCCAGCTGAGGGTGGACCCGGCCAACTTCAAGGTGAGCCCCCGGGGGGCCCTCCGGCCGATCCCACCGCGCGCATTCGGGCGCATGCGACAAAAAAAGGAGGCGACGTCTTTGCCTCTAAACGAGCGGCTGTCCTCTCTGGTGAAACGCAGAACGTAAGAGTTGACTTGTCCCGTCCCGCAGATCCTGTCTCACTGCATCCTCGTGGTGATCGCCGGCCTGTTCCCGAAGGACTTCACCCCCGAGGCCCACGTCGCCGTGGACAAGTTCTTCTGCGGCGTGTCTCTGGCCCTGGCAGAGAGGTACCGCTGATCGGCGCCACGTGGTCAAAGCAATTATGGAATAAACTGCTTATCCAAAACGGACGCGACTGTGTTTCATTGTGTCTCCTGAAATGTGTTCTTACGTCACACGCACACAGCAGAGGAAGGAATAAACAGACACAATTCATGCTTTTATTTCATATCATGCAAAACACAGGGGTCACACAGCTGAAGAAAAGAAGTCATTTGATCTTTACGGGTTCATTGTCACCATGCGACACAATAAACGCACACGACGGAGACTCTCAGGATTTCATCACGACTCGTATTTTATCATCTCCCAGAATGAGCCTGAAAGACAAGAGAGACATTCAGTCTGACTGTTTGCGCATTTCATTATTTTACTCCCACCTGTCGTCTCCCACCTGAGCAAGGCGGCGGCCAGCAGACCTCCCCCGATGGGTCCCACCCAGTAAACCCAGTGGTAGGACCAGTAGTTGGTCATCAAAGCCGGACCGAAAGCTCTGGCCGGGTTCAGACACGTTCCTGACACGTCACCCCTGGACGGGAAAAAACTCAGTATCTCTCTGTCCTTTTCTCTTGCTTTATAAGTAAAACGGTACATATACGACGATACAAACACCAATACAGTCAATAAAAAACTAAAAACAAATCATTTATATTTATTGGCCGGTACTTATTAAAATATTCTGCGATTAAATTAAATAAAGAAAGACAAAAAGTCTTTTAAAAGACACAAATAAGGCTAAACATTGTTTAGGATGGACGGCTTCAGAGAGGAAGCTCACCCGAGAGTCTCAGATCGCGATAAACTGTCGACACCCGTCCCGGTCGCCGGTCGACGCCCTTTTATCTCACCCTGCCAGGACGTTGATGATGACGGTGCAGCCGACCAGGAACGGCGCCAGCGGCGTCTTCGTCTTGCCGTTGACCGCCACCAGCAGCACCACCATGGTGATCAGGCAGGTCATGGCCACCTCCCCGAAGATGGCGCCGGACAGCTGGCTCTCTGACTTGAGGATGTCAAACGCCGCCCCGGTGGCGTTGAGGTAGCGGTCCCTGGGGGTCATCATCTACAGAATGTTTTTTAAGGATCAAACTCTTACACGTGTGCGCAGAAACGGAACCAACCGGCCCCCCCGTCGGAACATTGCACACGATTAACTTGATCGCTTTGAACTGACCTTGGCCATCCCAGCTCCCAGCACCCCTCCGATCAGCTGGCTGACCAGGTAGGGTCCCACCATCATCAGCTTCATGCCGCCGCACAGGTAGATGGCGATGGTGAAGGGAGGGTTGAAATGGGAGCCGCTGAGGGAAGGAAGGAAGGAAAAGGGTTTTTTTTATTTCCTTACAGGCCGTCCCAGGCCTCGGGCCAACGACCTGCACCGGACTCCCTACCTGATGTTATCCATGACCGCCACCATCACGGCCACGGCCAGCCCGTGCACCAGCGCCGGCTGCAGCCGCCCGGCGGCCGGCACGTTCTCGATGACGGACACGCAGCCGACGAAAACGAAGAACATGGTGCCCACCACCTCGGCCAGGCAGGGCTGGAACAGAGTCTCGTATTTGTTGGGTGGTCTGGCCGCGGGGGGCTTGTTGCCCTTCTCCATCAGGGTCGAGTCCTCCATGTCCATTTTCTCCACTCCCATCGCTGCGTGGTCCGAGTTCTGGTCGCAAACACACACAAACGCCTCCCGCTCCCACAAGCACAGCCGGCCTGCAGCCTCGGTCCGGCGCACTGGAGCGGGCCGGGTTATATAGCTTCATCCCGGCAGGTTGCATCACGCCTCGTAAAACATCGCATCGACACAACCCTCCCTCGGACGCGTCTCCAGACGGAGGCGTGGGCGGCGATCCAGTCGGGCCACCTTTGGAACGAGAGCTCCTGAGGTGTGAAACAGGCCTTGAACTGTCAGACTTCAGTCAGCGAGGTCGTGGAAACAACATCAGCGTAATCTGGTCAGATAGTGTCTGATACCGACGCACAATAACCAGCGGGCTGCGTAAACCTCACACCTCTGCACACATCCCACGCACAACCATCCAGACAATGAGCAGTGGTGGGAAATAATACAATCCTGGGGAATCTCTTCTTTATTTGGGTGTTGCTATTTATTTCCACTCTGTTCCTTCTTTCAAGTCTTTTTTTTGTCTATAATTTATTCCTTAGTTTCCTTTAAAGAAAGAAAAGCTTCTATTGTTCTGCTTTTAGTATTTTTGATATCACATTTTTTGCAACTTTAAAGCAAACTGCCTTTTATTGTAATAAATGTTATTATTATATATTTTAATTCATATTATTCCTGATTATTAAGCCAAACGTTACTTCCTCAAATAAACTACAGTAAGCGGCTACATTATTACACCGGCAACAACAACCGTGATCCTACATCACAACGCTTTTTATTTACATCTTTACTTTAGTACCTGAAGCGTTCGGACCAACAGGGGCGACGGCTCACTGCGGTTCCAGGTGATCTGAGGACACCGGTTTACGATTCTAATCCAGCAGCGTGTTTGTGGACCATATTTTAGCTAATAAAACATTCAAAGATTCTGCCAATGCATTAATAGATCTTTGCAACCAATGAACGTTTAGAATGCGGAGGAAAGACGTAGAAGCAGCAACCTGTCAATCATAAAAAATGCATTTGAGCTTTTCCCATTTATTTATTTTCAACAAATTTCAAAAATGAATTTAACTTTTTTCTTATTTTTGTATTTCAGCCATTGTTTTACGTCAGTTTGTCTAATTCTTGTATTTTCAGCCTTAATTGTATATTTAATTCCTTTTTTCAGTTTTTTCAGATAAGTTCATTTCAGCTTTCCCCATTTGTGTATTTTAGCAGTTTTGGGAAATTCAAATCAGCTTTTAACGTTCAGAATTTCAACTTTCTTTCTGCATTAAATGCATTTTCTAAATAATAACAGGGGCGACGGCTCACTGCGGTTCCAGTGGATCTGAGGACACGAGTTTACGATTCTAACCCAGCAGCGTGTTTGTGGACCATATTTTAGGTAATAAAACATTCAAAGAATGGTTTTCCATTGAGAACTTTGACCCAAAAACGAGTCCAAAAAACTGTTAATAGATAATCCAAAGTGAGATGATAAGTGTGAAATGTAATATCCAACGTCTCTGGACGTCTTCCAGCAGTCATCAAGCATGTAGGTAAGTCCAAGTAAGAATGAACAAAGTTACCCATCATATCATATAATCAGACACTTTATTGAGTCCACAAATACAAATGTTTCATTGAAAAGGAGCCGACAGTTATCGCTGCTTTAGTGGAAAATACATGTGCACATTTTACTGACAAATTATAACGGTGCAGTTTATTGTCGTGTGTATGAACAAGTGGAAACAACATCACCAAGTCGTCTGATAAACAACACATTCACTTCAGCACCACTCGAGTCTTCTTATCGCCCAACAGCAACCTGCAAGAGAAGCGATTTGTCAATCATCCGTCATCAGTAGATCTGATACCATCGTGGGAACGTGGATGGAAGACGGTAACCGGCAGATTCTCCTGCAGAACGTCGCGCTCACAAAACCACCGCAAGACGCGAGATGCAAATAAAACGATGCAAAACAACCGCAAGGACACACAACATGAGTCCAATCTTCTCCGCCTGCATGTCCACGAGGGACCGTTGTCTCAGTGTCTCCAGACGGTTAAGAAGTTACACAATAGCTTGACTGAATAAAAAAGAAGCAGATTGTGGTGGAAATTTGTGGATTTAGCCCATGTGAGAAATCAAAAGTATCTTGAGCTTGCTTTGTGATTAAGTATTTATTACTAACTAGAATATAGGAAAAAGATAAAGAATACAGAAATCATCAGCACAAGTCGTAAGCACAGACAGAAGTCAAATGACTACAATTCAGCTGAAAAGGGACAGATGTTCCTTCCCCCAAAAGGAGCAGGAAGATCTGACAAAGTCAAAGAGGAGAACAGGAGGTTTTATACACTTAGGGGGGTTTGTGCTGCCTCAGGACAGGACAGCCCACCCCTCAAGAGGAATGTGGGAAAAGTAGCAGATGATGTAGGGGTGACCCTGTGACCCTCCCTTTATGGACCCAGACAATCAACAACATCTAAAAGGTCAGTCAGGGCACGCATGTTTTCATCTGTGTCTTATCTCACCCTGGACTGCCTTAAGTCACCGGCTCACATCAAGGGTCACATTCCTGAGAGCCTCACCCCACGCAGGCTCAACAATTTTCCCCCAACATCCCTCTCTTTTTGTCATTTTTGACAATCCGGAATCAACTTAAGAAACTCTAAACAACAATCAAATCGAAATTAAGAAAGAAAATTAAACAACAAAGAAAACGTTTAGAACATACATGAGTGGTGTAAATTCACGAAGATTCAGAACATCACATCATTAACTTCTAGGTACATTGAGAACTCTTGCTAAACATTAACACCATACATGCTGTTTAGTTATACACAATCCTCACACTCATCATCACTGTCAAAGCTATCCGGATAGGGTGGAGTCCATTCCTGAACCGGACACCGTATAGTAGTACTTGTGTGTTCAACTGATACATGAGTACTAACAACCTTCCTTACAAAGAGCTTTAAAACAGTTACAATTAGGGTTGTAACAATTACAGACAGATTAATGCCCCCTAATTCCCATAGCAGTTCCTTGAAGAGAGAAGTTCCCCGTGATCCAACCCGTGCCTGTATTCCCCCAAAAGAATTCCAGCCGTGGTCTTCATGTAATTCCTTAATGCCTTGCTCTATGTCTGCCACCACATCATAAACTGCGATGTTGCAACAGAGATGTAAGTGCAACATTCACTGTTAATTATCTTGCATACCCCGCCTTGTGAGGCCAGAACGAGGTCCAGAGCCATTCTATTTTGTAGTACCATGTGTTTGATGTCATTTACTTCCTTTTGCATTTCGGAAAGTGCTATTGAAGTCTTATTCATGTGTCTTTCCAGTACTGTTGAGAGTGCCCTTATTTCCTCTTGGCTCCTGTAGGTGCCATAGGACGGTATTAGTATGCTCAAAATCCTTGAACCTAGTGAAATGGCGCGTTTATGACGTACATGGAATGGCGCAAGTCCCTTGGAGTCAGCTTGTCTAATTAGGGGTATAAGATATGCTAAATAGCATTTCCCAGTTACTGACCTTTTACGAAGGTTCCCTACGACCGGAACACAGCTGTAAGCGATGTTGCCACAAACTAAATACACCTTTCCCGGTAATGCGAGGTCCTTAAACTCAGTGGCAAAGCTGATAATATCATTACTACAGTCACTCGTACCTAGATGAAATCCATCCAGGGCATAGAAGTTAACACAGCGGCTGACGTTGGTTAAGGGATGGACCGGAATGGGAGGTGTTGGGTTAGTACAATCTCTATTCGGAGGTCTAGTTGGGATTAAAGGTTTACTACAATTATGTCTACTCCAAGTTGTATGTGTGACTTTTAAATAATTTGCCCAAGGGATGCTCTGTATACCCATCTCCAATCGAATAGATGCTGTATTTGGTATGAGAGTACATGCAGTTTTTAACAATTCATTCTCCGCCGTACAATTAGTCTCACCGAGAGTCATTTGCACTTGATATCTTAACCCTTGTTGGACGTATCTTTTGTAATAGGTTAATCTAAACAACATCACTTGATTAATACCTACGGGCCTTTCCTCAAGATTAAATTGCTTAACTGCAAAACGCACAACTTTCCCCTTTTCACCCTCATAGGCAGTTGTGCTTTGCGCTCTTGTCGCCGTATGCGATGGAGGAGTGTAACAGTCTTCATCATTACTCACAAATCGATGAGATAGCTCAGCCCACCCCATGACAGCCCAGTCGGCTTCCGTGAATGGAACAGGAACCAACATAGGTGCTCTAGATGAAATGGGCATATGCTGACATATCCAACAATTAGACATTCCTTTTGTTAGCAAAATCCTTCATAATAGTCAACGCAATATTATCATGCTTGTACGGTGGTGTACGGTTTGGAAGTTCTTAACGTTAGGCTTACTTGCACGCATACTGCCAATCTAGCCGAGTGAAATGGGCTGGTTCCGTCGTACAACCTTCAGGTAGAGCGCACCGGAACGGGTATTCCCAACTTGCATCATATTTAGGACTTACAGACATCGTACAAGTATCATTTGTCTGACACTGAGTTCTAACGTCCTCCGAGTCCAGGACTGACCAGTGACCTAAGTGCGGCGTGCTCAGCCGTAACATGTAAGCTTTACAACCCTCCTTCTCAGTCCCCCCTCTCGGACAATTGAGAGAGATCAACCCTCGCCTCCAAGTTGCTTTAGTGGGGGGCTGTTCTGGCCTAAGGGAGGTCAGGGCCTGTGGTTTAACGGCCCCGTAAATTATTTCAGGTTGTGCTGTTTTAGGCTGTGTCTCTCAGACAGGCTGGTAAGTTCTTTTGCATGCCTCCCTCCAGTTGCTGGAGCCAGTGTAGGCTGGTATCTCCTGACACGATCACGGTTTACTGCACCAGAATGGTGGATCTGCTAAATCAAAACTCTTGTGCACCCCCACAGTACATATTCTTCTCCCAACCCGGCAACACACACAATTTCATTTACGTAACTTTCTATTTCAACCCATGCATCATGTTCGATTGTGTAGAGCAAACACTCTGTCTTGTCGCATTGTTTTGCTGGACAGTGGAAACTTCCTGAAATTCTCTATTGGAGAGGTGGAGAACGCTGGAATCCGTGATGTTCACATAAGGAGGTTGTAGTTCATTGATCGTGAGGGGAATCAGCACAAATGTGGCCAGTGATAGTGATAAACACATGTTCATTCTCAGGCTCCAACCATGCTTCCTAAGTGTTCTTTGGCGCTGGAGATCTGTCTTTTATCGCTGTTCTCCGGGTGGCTGCCGTCCTTGCTGTCTCTGCCGTCTCTACCGGGCTCGTCGGTGTCCTGGAACACTGCAGTGGGGGAGGGCTCTCCACCCTGCAACCCCTTAACCGGAACCAGATGGAGGTGCTCCTTCGCCTCCTGGATCCGGGATGCGTTTGCAGTGGCTGGCGTGAACCCACGTCGCTTTCCCTTCCACCTCAACTGCCGTCTCCGTGGTCAGGAGTACTTGGAAGGGCCCCGTGTAGCGTCTCTGCTTCCTCCAGTGATCCTTAATGAGGACCCAGTCTCCTGGTTTTCGGTGGTGCTGCATTGCTGTAGCTGTGGATGGAAGCGCCGCTTTCACCTCTTCGTGCAGTGCTGAGAGTGAAGGGGAGAGGTTAGCACAATATCTCAGCATGCTCATTTATAGCAGTGCACATCCCCCCTTTGCCCACGTGATCTTTTCCGTGAGACAACTTAGCATAAATGTGGAAGAGAGCACGTGGCAAACAGGGCCTACTGTCCGGCCCTGTGTAGATTCCGCCCTCAAGAATGGCACCAGATCGTTTCCACAGGGAACGCTCCTGTGCACCGGCAAGAGGCCGAAGTGTTGAAAGATCGGCATAAGGACTAGGATCGGTCGGTGTGGAAAGCATGTGAGCCAGGGGGAAAAGGAAGCCCTGCGAGGCTGCCTTCTTCGCAGCCGCATCCGCGCCCCTGTTTCCTACAGATACAGGGTCAAGAGAAGAGGTGTGAGCTTCACGTTTAATGACTGCAATGGCTCTGGGTAGTAAAATGGCATCCAGAAAAGCAGACACAAGGGTATGATGTGCAATAGGCTTGCCAGATGACGTAAGAAACCCCCTGTGTCTCTAAAGAGCTCCGCACCAGAAGAATAACGTGAATCAGCGAAGATGTTAACTGTTTTACCTTCAGCTGCTTTACATGCCTCGGCAAGTGCAATCAACTCTACCGCCTGTGCTGAGAAGTGTGAAGGAAGCCTGCCACTAACAAGTGTGCTGTGTGATGTAACCACTGAAAACCCAACCTGACCGCTGCCCGTGTCTGGTGAGCGAGAAGCGGAGCCGTCTACAAACAGCTCAAGATCTGCATTGGGAAGAGGTGTGTCCAACAGATCAGGCCTTGGTATGCATGTCTGCTGCAAGACTTCGACACAGTCATGAAGCTCTCTGTCATCTGCAGTTGGAAGAAGTGTAGATGGGTTAAGGACATTGCATCGTTTGACAATTACATTAAGTTGTAGGATATCTGAACCATCTCTGAGCAGAGAGGTGAGAAGTCTTCTGGGCATATAAGATATGAGAGACAGTAAGTGGGACATCACAGAAGCCCACAATGTCACATGATGCTAAAATGTCTCTCTCGGCTGCTGCCACTGCTCGCAAACAGAGGAAGACCCGAAGCAACAGGGTCAAGTTTTGAGGAGAAGTAGGCAACAGGCCTAAGTTGTCCTCCATGAAGATGACACAAAACTGATGTCATTTAACAGTCCTTCTGGTCTATGAACAGAGTCTACGGTAAGTCGGGTCTCAGCAGGCCCAGAGTCGGGGCCTGTGATAAGGAAGTCTT